AAATAAATAAATGCGCACAATCGCCCAACCACACTTGAATAGACTAAACAAAAACACTCTCTTACACTCTGGCAAACATACACAGGAAGTAAAAGCACACAACGGCCTTTTATTCTGAAATGTTCTTCATTTCTCTCAGGCATTGATGAAGAGTGTATTTTGCTGTTTTTACCCTTTTAGCACGTAGACGAATCACTCCAATCGTTGATTTAAGCTCTCAGGAATTTGCAGGGATATGCAGTTTTGGTGATTTTGTTTTGTTGTAATTCTCAGCTGTTGCACGCAAACCACCACTGCCTGTGCTCGCCTCGCTCACAGTTTTAAATCCACAGCATGTCTCTGCATGTCGGCACCGCTTTCACGGAGCACTTCTTACGATGTGTAGATTTGTACTGAATACAGTTTTCTATGTACAGTACATCAGTGGCTTCACCTATACATTTAATTATGTCGCGTTTCCTCTGGAGGAACATTTTACTTCTTAAATGATGTCCTCCAACAGACACACAGTGTTAACAATGGCGAAATACTGTTTGTCTCGGTGCCTGTTCGAAATGTATAGAATCTATTTTTCTCTGCCGACATAAACATATATATATACAGTATTCATGTGTGTATGTGTGTAAAATGGGTGCGTACAGTATCGTTAACTGTAACTCAGTCCGAGGGTTTCTGACTTGCTGGTGTTCTTTCTGTCGCCCTGCATTACCCTGTACCAGGTATGGGCTTTTTCTACTCCTTTTGTAAAAGAAATCTAAAGAAAAGAAATCACACAGCAATAATAACAAGCAGGAATTAAGTACTTTTACAGCCATATTTGTTGTCAAATGGTCCCCTTGATTATTGTTATTTTAGAATGGAGACATATGGTAGTAATGTTTGATTTATTGTTATTTTGAAACTCTTGATGATCCGTCTTTCTCCCTATTCTGATTGGTATTTAATTAATGGTTTGATCAGGGTATTCAGGATTAAAATGGAATAAACTGAGCGGAAGACGATATGCTCTATTGGTGAGAATGCCCTAAAAGTGTTTCCGTGACAAACATGTGGATCTTCCGACAACAAGGTCCCGTTACCTGTGTATTACGATCATTTTTCTGGTGAGTTTGTATTGTAGAAGAATGTTGTGGGATGAAATATTAAGATTTGTAATATGTGGAATTAGTTTGAATTTGACCCCTTTTGTTACAGGTGTCCATTGTCTGTGTGAAACACTCATACACTTATGATTACAAATGTAATTGTATGTAAACCAATGTTGATAATTGTCCAGTTTTCATCTTCCAGAGGATGTTCTGTTGGTGACTGTGTTGTCTTTATCGGTTGCTCTATCCAGGTTTTCTTTTTCAATGACGTGAACTTTTATCACTCATAGAAACACAAATGTACAAATATTCTGTATATGAAAAGTTGAACGAGAGAAATAAATGTTTAGTTTTTGTGTTAAATTGTTGAAAGTGAAGAAGCTGGACTGTGTTTTTGAACTGCACATGCTTCTTATCAGCAGCGGTGGGTCGTAGCCGGGTTAGGCCACACACAGCATCATTTAATCCTTAATTACAAAGTCAGATATATTTCCTGTGTTGCTCATGCAAGAGTCAAGGCTGTTTTTAGTTGCATACGTGCATTTATTCACTTTCTTTAAACAGTTTTAAGATCTTAATTAGTGAAGAAACAAAAGCCAACTTTGATTGGACTGTATCCGTTTTCTTTCTCCATTGTTTATCAGTGAAGACTCGAAGAGATCTGTGGGTATCTCCTGGGATCAGTTTCCGCCTTCGTCCTGTCCTCTTTCACAGCCTGGGGGGGGGAAACAGACGGCATTAATTTCTAGTACAGGTCTAAGATAGGTTTACTGTGACCCGTTTCGGTTGCACTTGAGTGATTCCTTGTGCTGTAAATCTTGTTTTGGGAGAATCGTCTCAACAAAGACGAGACTCTTGTCACAGGTGTTTTTGCATCAAGTCACTTTACTCTTTTTGTGTGTGTGTGTGTGTGTGTGTGTGTGTGTGGGGCATCAGAATACAAGCAATCTGCATTTTTTTTTTTTTTTTTTTTTTTGGTCAGGATCAGATTCCAATCCCTCTCAAGTGGATTGCTACTGAGGCGTCATATCCTCTTTCTGTTCCGCCACCTTTTTGTTTTCCTTTCTGCATCTTGCACTCTGTACTCTTCATTTTTCCACAACTTATAGGCCATACATATTTAATGATTGTGCAGGGGTGAACTGATTGACTCAGTATAGTCGGAGCATCTTAATCTACTCGACACATTTGCTTTTTAAAGCCTGAAAAGGTTGTGTACAGACAGATGTATCCGTCGTGTGTCCATTCCTTTTACTGACAAGGGATCCTGTGACTCCTGTTAAGGTGTCATCTCTTGTTAAGGTCTCGTCTCCTGAAGAGACCAGAGAGATGCACGGGTGTTCTAATCTCAGAAACGGCCTGGTCGTTACCAAACTCCTTATTAACTATTCATGGAGGACACGGGTGCCAAACGGGGCTCCGTGTGTCTCGTCTTTGGGAGGACAGTAGGTGTCAATGTGGGGAGAAACAAAAACAGAACAAGACGTAGAGGAATGACGAGTTCAGGCAACACCGAATACAAGTTGGTTACTCAGTTTGAAACTGCAGCAGCTCGATGGATTGTATTTTAGCATCAAAAAAGGAGCTGCTAATCCATTTAAATGAAGATATACTAGATTTTTTTTTTAATAATTCAAGCCTTAGTGGAACAACTTTGAAGATGAAGTAGTTCCAGCAAGAGGGAAGTAACCAGATGAGGTAACGCTTGAGGAATCGATACTTTATTTTTTTGTGGATTTGTCAACATGGACCCTCCAGCCGTCTCCGTGTCCAGGCTGGATGTGGATGTGGATCTTGGTTTTGCCCTCTTCTTCTTCTTCCTGCTCTGCTTCTTCTTGTTGGTGACCATAGTTCGCTGCGGTCAGATGGTGCTCGACCCTTACAGTAACATCTCTGTCGCGACATACCAGGAGGCACAAACAGAGGAGTGATGGACCGATGAATTACAGCCTACAGTAAAGCCAGCTGTTCAAACTCCTCGAATGGGATAACAAAAATGAGTTGCCTCAAGCCAAAGGATATTTTGAGGCTTCTTTTATGACAGAATCAGTCTGGTGGAGTTTTGTCAACTTTTCTATAGTTTCTACTTAATTAAATCAAAATTGTGTACAAGAAAAGAAGTCTACCAGCAGCATCTGCAAATGATGTAAGTATGCTCTGTAAATTACAAAATATACTTCACATATCGTGTTGTAAATGCATATGGATAACAAGGTATTCGTGGTTTACAAATATGAGACAGAAAACTGAAAGAGCAAATCATTTTTTTTAAATGTTTAAATTTACATATTTAAAATGACTTTACTATGAGTGGTATATGTTCTATACATCATTAAATATTTTCACCACATGAATCTAGAAATTTGCTAAACTAATTATTCCATCCAGGTAGGCCTTTACAGTTTGATAAACATAAATGCCTGCAGGACCATATATTGAAACATTAATATATTGAAAATCAAAATAAAGTAGGTCATATAGTGTTTGTTTAGCACAAGTGGTAAATAAACATTTAACAATTCATCAGTCTCTGGTCGGAGACTGTGCATTTAATTAGATGTACAATTCCATGACTTTACAGGAGACAACCAGCCAACAACCCATTCTCCTTGTTTTCATATCTATCTATCTATCTATCTATATATATCTATATCAACTTAATTTCAGACACTTATTCCAATGTTTCCAAAAAAAGAGGAAAACCTTGTATCACTTTGTTGGCTCAAGGCCTTTATGATTCATTTTTTTTGACATTTCAATTTGTACATAAAATTCCTCAACACAGCATGAAGGGTGGGAACATTACCAGAACTTACTTGCACGATAACTGCAAAACTTTTCACTTGCACTACAGAGAACAGAGTGGCTGACTCCATGAGATTAAGTGTGATTTAGTCATCATACGAGAATTTACATATGAAAAGTTGTTTGATGAAGACAAAGGCAAATGCCTTCAACTCCACATTAATAGCGCACAGATGTTTTCCCAATGATTTACATAACGCAGAACAGATGTTTTGCGCTTTGCCCCAAATTCTGTCACACAATGTTTTGGATATTTTGCACAAACTTTCATGCAAGCTACTTGTTATTGAACAAATTAAATAAATCCTTTAGTTTGAAGCATGTGTTGGTAATTCAACAGGGGTAAGTCGTTCAATAGAGGCGTATTCATAACAATAAGCAGAGCCAAGAAGGAATCGGGAGATTATTCATGTGCACCCTCAAGTGGTGAATATGAGTGATTACTGATTAACAGTAATTAAAACTAATGGACAGGAATAATGCACAAATGTGAGAGTCAGAGAACTGTTCCTTTCAGTCACATGGGAATTTTCTACTTACATTTTGTAAACTTGCTTTAAAAAGTGACTTTTTTATATTCCTATATTAAACAAACGCTTAAAGCATAAAATTATTTTTTTTTAAAGGACAATCGATAAATGAATGTCATCTGGTTAATCTTAATTTCTTCAGAAAGTCCCACATCATGCAATAGTCTTGACTTTTATTGAGTTAATATCGTCTAGCTCGGTTGCACGTTTTTATTCACCTATATATCCCGCGTGGGCGGAGTTTCCGCCTTCTATTGAAACCAAACATCCCTCCGCTCTCTTCGGTTACCCCGGGATACAATGCATGCACTCCTTCTTGTAGCTAGCTGGTAGCATTAGCTAGCTAAACTCATATTTGCGAGCAGGCAGGATGGAAAGCAGCGATGGGTGAGTATTTAGTGCTGTCTCTGAATTATGTGTTACCGTCTGATGTGTTTGATGAGAACAACTAGAGAGGACACAATGCTGGGTTTTTTTCAGACACCAGTTAGTCAAGATATGAGACCATCTCCATGCTAATGCTAGGCTAACGAGCTAGCCTAACGAGCTAGCCTACTCTCACTTGTAACAAGCGTCAGTTTAAAGTCTTTTAGCTGCCGCAATGTGTCTAATTAAAGTGTGAGTGAAGATAGTGCGGGTTTAATGAGCAGCCACTCTGTCTGCAGAGTTATTTATTTCCAAAACTGTCCCTTGTTGTGCTAACCAGTAGCGTTGACGTTAGCAAGTCAAGACTATTGCAGCTGCTTCAAGATGACCCTTCCCCTGCCTGGTTGTTATTTTTGAAGCCATGTACCACATTAGTACCAACTCTACATCATATCGTTGTTTTGGTGGAAACCGTTACCATCGGTACTTTGTCTCTGTGCGCGTGGGTAAACAAATCTAACATATTGAAGTCAAGCTGGAATAAAGGAAGCGTTACACATGTGTGACCCCCGTCTAGTATGCAACGATCTCAGTCTGCAGTGCACGCAATGATGTTAAATGTAATGATGCACGTCAGAAATCAGGGATGCAGTAGAGTTTATTCTTGGAATTGATACGCTGACAGAAATACATCTTTGCAGACATTACATGCAGGGTTAAAACAAGGGTTGCGTGATATGTTATGAGTGCTCGTTGTGATATTAATATGGATTGAAAATGTTTGCTAGATAATCACACTGGTGTCTAAAACAATGACTTGTTTTTCAGGGTTTTGCATCAGATCAAACTCTTTAAATGTGTATAAAAAAAGAGTAGTAGGCAGTGGCGGCTGGCCAATAGAGGGCGCTAGGGCGCCGCCCCCCCTTGAGCCACAAAAAATGAAGAACATTAAAAATAAATTATACAAATTGTCAATATGTGTGTTTTTGAAATATGGAATCACCCAGTAATATTTGTAAAATATTATATCTGCGCAAAATATATGCTTTTCCTCCACGTGCTCTCTGCCTGTCTGCATATATCAGCAGCTCTGGGGCGCTGGAGGGAGCGCCCACAGGAGGCGGGTCTATGAAGCAGTTTAGCCAATTGCTGATTCAGGATATGAATGAATGACGTACAATTTAGCCAATCAGCGTCCTCAAATAGATTCAGCAATGGATAGAATTTGTTTCGTCCCAAGCTGCGCGTCCTCCTCGGGACTAGTCTCTACCGGCGCCATTTTAACGACATAACAATGGCGAGCACTAGCGCTACTTCTCCAATACCAAACCCTAACTCGGTAAAGTCTCTCCTCCAAGACCCGTTTGAGAGGAGAACTTTGGCGGAGAAACTACAGGTAAAAGAGTTGGGCCCAGATCAACCTGGCCTCACAATAAGACAGCAGACTAGCGACAGAGGGAAGCAGCACATGCGAAGCTTCAACAGAGACTGGTACTGGAGGAAGGTTTGGCTTGCTGGATGCACTCATGCTGATGCCGTATTTTGCTTTCCATGCTTGCTTTTTAAAACAACGGGTACCGATCCAGCATGGGCATTAACGGGAGTGAGGGACATGAAGCATCTGTCTGAGAGAGTGAAAAAACACGAGAACACCAGGGCGCACATGGAGAACTCCGTCAAGCTCGCCATACTGGGCAAAGTGAACATCGCTACTCAGCTGACCGACGGACACAGGATTGCGGTGAGGAAACACAACGAGGAGGTGGATAGAAACAGGCACATTTTATCCAAAGCAATTGATTGTGTGAAGTTTTGTGGGGCTTTTGAGTTGGCTTTGCGTGGGCATCACGAGACTGACTCCTCGGACAATCCTGGCGTTTTCAGGGGATTGGTGGATTGTGTTGCCTCCCTAGACGGCATGCTGCAGGAGCACCGTAAGACAGCTAGCGTTTTTAAAGGCACGTCAAATACGGTACAAACCGAGCTGTTGGACTGCATGCTGTCGGTTATGAAGGAGTACATTCTGGAGGAAGTAAAGAGGGCTGATTTTATCGCCATTCAAGCAGACGAGACGACTGATATTTCCTCCCACTGCCAGCTGGTGCTTGTGCTACGCTACATCGACGCCAACAGTAACGTCCAAGAGCGTTTTTTCGAGTACATTACCATCCAGAACGCCACCGCCGACACCATCGCTACAGCGCTGATGGAGAGGCTAAGCGCCATCCTCCCAAACGGACAAAAGGCCAAACTTATCGCCCAAGCGTACGACGGGGCTGCTGTAATGAGGGGAGCCACCGGCGGAGTGCAGCGTAAGATACTGGATGTCTACGAAAATGCCCACTACGTCCACTGCTACGCGCATCAGCTGAACCTCATCATGCAGCAGGCGGCATCACACAACCCCAGGATCCACACCTTCTTTTCTGACCTTGGTGGATTTTCTGCCTTCTTCTCCGGGTCACCCAAGCGAACCACCGTGCTCGACCAAGTGGTCGCCAATAGACTTCCCAGTGCCTCTACAACACGGTGGAACTTCCACAGTCACGCTGTAAATACTGTGCACGAGCACAAGGATGACCTCCTGAAGTGTTTCCAGACCATCAGGGACTCTGGGAACTTTGACCCCCTAACTGTCAGAGAGGCGGGGGGCTTTGTGAGGATGCTCGAAGACGAGACTTTCTGTTTTTTCCTGGCGTTGTTCCACAGGATCATGCCAAATGTGGACATGCTATTCAACCAGCTGCAGACGAGGAACATCAACCGGGTCTTCATTGAAGCACTTGTCCAGAGGTTCACAGACAGCATTCTAGCGATCAGGTAAATAACTATATCTACTACTGGCTGATGAAGCTTCTGTTGTCAGAAAGATGAGTCGCTCACTTCCAACAGTCTGTAAAAGCCTAAATCTGCCTACTCATCAAAGTGAATGATTATCATAGAGAACATCACAATATTTGTTTAAATATTTCAGATTTTGTATAATAATGCAGGTAGTTATTAAACAGGCTTATTCAGGTGTCCACTGGGTCAGTTTCTAGAAGAGGCCTAGTTGTTATTGAAGATGGCAAGTTAGTAACTTACACTTTATTTTTTGGACCAGAGCCTCCGTTTCCTCTCCGTGTGAGGACAGTGCATCTGACCAGCAGCCCCAGCCCAAAAAGCAACGGAGGATGCTGGGACCAGAAGAACAACGGAGGCTGGCTACAGAGGTAAGTTGTGATGTAGTTATACACTCACACAGACGTGTACTATATATGTGTGTATGCACAGCCCGAGCGTACGTGCTAATTACAGGAAGTAGTCAAATATTCAGTAACATGGTCGTCTGTCTCCTTGAAAAAGGGAGGACAAGCTGGTAACTGACCGCCTGATACATTTTGATGATGTTATAATTTCCCATCATCTGAAGTTCTTTGTAAGAAGGAATAATGGTGTTAAAACCTTAGTAGTCATATACGTGACTTGGAAAGTGTTCAATCAGAATCACTTTCATCAAAATAGCTTTATTGCAAATTAAAGCTGATGGTGTGTCTTTTACAGGTATGCGATACCATCCTGATGCATGCCAAGGAGCGGTTCTCCTTCACCCAGCACCTCATCAGCGCGACACTGTTGCATGGAGAGTTGTTCCCACAACACAGTGTGAAGTTCCCTGATTCAGCGCTTGAAACCACAGTGGCGGCTTACCCCATGTTGAACCAGGCCAAGCTCAAAACAGAACTGTCTCTGATCTATGAGAACAGTGAGTTCCAGGCCTGCAGTGGTGCAGTGTCTATGTACCAGTTTTTCATGGAGAACAACCTTCAGGGCACCTTCACAGAGACCGTCAGTCTTCTCAAGATCCTCATCACCACGCCCATGACCACAGCTGAGTCCGAGAGGCGTTTCTCTACTTTGAAGAGGATCAAGACCTTCCTGAGAAACACCACCACACAGGATCGCCTTGATGCCCTGGCTATGCTCTCCATGGAGAAGAAACTTGCCAGGGACATTCCCGACTTCAATAAGAAGGTTATTGAGAGGTTTGCTACTCAGAAGGACAGAAGAGCAAAGTTCCTCTACAAATAATCTGTCAGAAAAACATGCAGGTTTCCCCAACAAACAAGGTTCATAGGGGCATCTCAATAAATAAACATGTTCTATTGTATTATATATATTATATAATATATATATTATATAATATATATATTATATTATACTGAATTCCCTGTGAGGGTGACGAAAATAATATGTCCTGACGTGTTTGTCAAAGTGTTATTTCCTGCTTTTTTTGTGTTGGAATAAATGTTAAATCTTCAACTGCAAAGTAGTAATGCGTGTTTGATACCTTAATTTTTTTGGATTAAATCATTCTGGGATGTTTGCTGAAATTGATTGGATGTGGCACAGCCCTACCTAGAACATTTTCCACCAGCCGCCACTGGCATTAGGACATGCTTGTCATCAAATAAATGAACGTAATTACTAGTTCATGAGTGAGGAATAGAAGTCTGTGTAGATGTTTAAATGTTGTTTTTCTGTGTTTTTTTTCTCCTAAGAATGGAAGTGGAGGGTTGGGATGCCAGCATGGAGGAAGAGCTGGGCATTTCTCTGGATGAGCTGAAGAAGTGGATTGACGAAGCCGTGGAGAAGAGCGAGATCGTGCAGAAGAAGAAGGCTCATCTGACGGAGCTCAAGGAATGGGTGGAGCACAAAGAAGAAGAGGAGGCGAGAACAGACATGCTTCTCAACGATGCCAACAAGTAAGTGTGACATGAGTCTGTTTGTTATTTATTATATAACAGTCATGCGTTTGAGTCTATATAGATCAGATACAGGTTTTAAAATGTAAAAACAGTAGTAGTAGTCTATACAACAAACGATGAAATTGTGGATTATTGTGTAGAAGCCAGCTGTTCCAATCAGCTCCTGTGTAACAGCGACATGTAGCCGGTAGCATTGAAAGAGCGAAGGCACAGACCAAGAACTCTCTAACAAAACATGATGGCTGACGGCTTCAAGCAGGCCGAAACAACACAACATAGGTCTCTAACAAACATGCAACAGATGTGGCTCTGCTGGGGACACAAATGATTACACTGTCTGTTCCTGTTTAACATTTCATCATGGAAACCAAAAAAAATCTGTTTTGACATCACATTGTGCATTATGTAAATTTAATTATGTAATGCACAGTCTGATTATTTTCACATTTCCTATTAAACAGATGAGAATCCATGCTGTGGGTGTAATGTGTGACAGTGGGCTGTGTTGTTTGGGTCATTTTATTCCTTTATTTGATAGAAGAGGGATGAGAGAGAGATGCAACAAAGCATTTTTCTCCCCTGATACAGATGCCAATACCTCAACTACAAACACTTGGAAATAGTCCCATACCGATATTCTCTTTTGCCCAAATTTAAATCTAAACTTTTTAATGTGTGAAGCTGATTGGAGTAAATGTAAAACAACCTGCGATTGGCTGATATATTTGTGCAGATTAGCAGATATCATACCGTTTGTACATTTTGTTATCTACTGTATTAAAAGAAAACGTGATATAAGTGTGTGTGAGTTAAAAGCTCAGACAGGAGCAGTCTGGCTGCGCTGTCGCACATCCACAGTATTAACTGTTAATGCTGAACGACTGTTCCTCAGGTCCCTATTGGAGTGTGAGAAGCTCGTGAAGGAAACTTACCAGAGCAACGGTCTCGTTTACGAGACCAGCTCAGAGGACGAGGGGGGCGGAGGAGGCGCGCTGTCCTCTGAGGTCATCGAGATAGACGACGACGACGACGATGACGTCATTGCTGTTGGCTGTCGTAAGTCCGGCTCCTTTCAGTTCCAATTTCATCGCTACTACGTCATGAAAACATTCGGGTTGTTAAGTGTTTTCTGCTCTTTTTTAATGTTTCAGTGGTTCCTCCGAAGACGGCCGTCACTCCTGTCAAAGATGCAGCGGTGAGAACATTAGAGATGATCTGTAACCATAACTGTACAAAAGCGTGATTTATTAGGCGCTGGAGTATTTACACGATATCAACATTTATTTAAATATCACGGTTATCTTCAATACTAAGTATTTCCACATCCCTAGTCTCTTTATAGCCTTTATTTGTAGCACCCATCTTGTGGTTAGTTTAATGATGTGCCCTAATTTTGTCAAAATCTGTGATATCTTTAGATATTATATGCTTCAAGAATATACAAGTAAGCATTGTATGTACTACTATAGACCCAATATTATCTTTTAAATTAATTTATACATTTTAGTACTGTGTGTGTGTGTGTACCATCTAAATGAACTGCTGCTTTACGAGACAGACTTGTGGAAATGCATACAAGGGAAGAAATCTATATTTAGGTTTCTATAGCAAACATCAATGGAGGTGTGTCACTGCTCAGTGTATGCAGATGATGATGATGATGTATATGTTGTTTATTTACCAGTTAAATGAGGCCTCCACAGCGCTACAGAAAACATCCCAGCAGGTGCAGAAGTTGGTCCAAATGGTCAACAGGCCCTCACTAGGTGCTCCATTGCTTCGCTCTCCATCACAGCCAGGTGAGCAGAAGTATATTTCCTCAGGGTAATGCATCGCACCTGTGGGGGAAGTATATGTGACGCTAACGGTACGTGTGGTTTGTCCTACCCTCCAGGTTTTCATTCTTCAGTGCCAGCAGTGTTTGTATCCCAGCTTCAGTCTCAGTCCATGACCCAGCCCAACCCAAACGTGACAGAAGATGAGCTGAGAGTCGGCATGGTGATTTTGGGAAAGAAACGCACCAAGACCTGGCACAGAGGCGACCTGGTTGCTGTCAGCCCAGTCGGTGTGTTCCCAAAACATTTTGTTCATATATATATTTTTTTCGAGATATTTTATGCTTTAATTTTCCTGATGTGCTGTTTAATGCAACTCACCCTCTGTCTACATTCAGGGAACGGTATATCCAAGTACAAAGTGAAGTTTGACAAAGGAAAGAGTCTGCTGTCTGGCAATCATGTGGCCTTCGAGTATAACCCCACCCTGGAGATCCTGTATGTCGGTGCTCGGGTAGTCGCCAAGTACAAGGACGGCAACCTGGTGTGGCTCTACGCTGGAATAGTAGCAGAGATGCCCAACAACAAGAACCGCATGAGGTGGGCAGACGAAGCTAAACTAAGGGTGGGATGTGCTGATTGGTTGACGTCAGAGTTCCACCAATACTGTATTTGTTAGTTGATCCATCGGTTTTGTAACTCATCGATATTGGTCTATGTTAGTTAAACGCATAACATAAACATCCCTTCAATTTTGTTAGTAAAGAATTGAGGCCAAGATGTGATGCAAGTGTGACTTTTTACAATGCCAGTGCTCATTGGTGGTTTAAACTATACAATAGAGACACTTTATATTAAACACACTAGTGAATCAGTCTGACTGTAGTTCATATCTTCTGTTAAATGTGTTTCAGGTTTTTGATCTTCTTTGATGATGGCTATGCTTCATATGTGACACTACCTGACCTCCACCCAGTTTGCAGACCATGTAAGTGCCCTTGTTCTCCTTCTCTCTTGTAATGTGTTAAAGCTGGTAAATACCTATCGCGTAGCTGTGAAATGAGTTGGCTAAATGCTGTGTTGAATTGAGTTTGAGAAATTGAGATTATTCTTGTTGTCACAGTAAAGCGTACCTGGGAGGACATAGAGGACGCGTCGTGTCGAGACTTCATCGAGGAGTACATCACTGCGTATCCCAGCAGGCCGATGGTGCTCCTAAAGGTTGGGCAGATCATCAAGACGGAGTGGGAGGGAACCTGGTGGAAGAGCAAAGTGGAAGAGGTGGATGGAAGCTTGGTCAAGATCCTCTTTTTGGTACGTTGACTTAAAAAAAACCCATTCACCTAGTTAGACCGCTGTCAAAAAGTTCAGAAGGGAGAGCAAACGTCTTGTTGTTTCGTGTGGATCAGGATGACAAGAGGAGTGAGTGGATTTATAGAGGCTCCACCAGGTTGGAGCCAATGTTCAACCTGAAGATGACCTCCGCTAACACCCAGGAGAAGAAGCTGGCCGGCCAGCAGAGGACACGGCCTAATATGGGTAACATTTCCATCTTTGCACTGTTAATCTGGTCAAAAAGCTTCATTTCAACCACTGTGATTTTTGTGACTTAAAAGAAGAAAATTTGAAAAAATAATAATACCATGTTTTACTACACTCACTCATGTTTGCTGTAAGTCTTTTGATTTTCACCTTCTCTTTTTGTCCATTTTGATCTCCAGGGGCGTTGAGGAGTAGAGGTCCAGTAGTTCAATACACAAGTGACGGACATATTGGAGCCTCTCCCGTCAAAACGCAGCCAGGCTCACCCAGCCAGCCTTCACAGACACCACCACCACCACAACTACAACAACAACAACAACAACTACGTCCTCAGCCCCCACAGCCACAACAAATCCAACAAATCCAACAAATGCAACAGATCCAACAGACGATTCAGCCTCCTCGTGTTGAGTAAGTGATGTGCACTGAACTACAGCAATAGCACCACTAAAGGTAGGTTCCTCAACTCAGCTCACTACCCCGTGGCTCACAGGGTTAAGAGGGTTGTCTGGCAACGGTTCGATCCTCGACTGGGACGTGCCACGTGTCAAAGTGTACCTGAGCAATACACTGAACCCCTAATGGCTCCCCGGGCGCCTGGCAGCCCACTGCTCCCTATATACAGGGATGGGTCAAATGCAGAGACAAATTTCCCCCTTAAGGGATCAATATAGTATAATAAATTAAATTAGAATTAGTAAATAAATTAATTTTAAAATTAAGGCAGTTTGTTTGAAGGTGTATACTTTGCAAAGAGAAGCTGAAGCTGAGGAACAATTTACCTTTTGATGGAACAATTTTAAAGATGACCTGAGGACAGTCTTCTCAAAGTAAAATTGGTAGTGATCATGAAACGGATCATAAAACAGATCGGATCAGCACAAAAGAAAAAAGGAGCAAATATAGAGTCTCTCTTAGAGATCCCCGATCACACTTTTTACAGATCTCTGTGTTTGATTATAGCAGCTTGTCTACAAGGCTCCAGACTCAAAGAATCATTTCAACTGCTCTGAAGTCAGTAAACCATCAACAATTTAAAATGTTGTCCTTTGACTTTGTGATGGTAATTTATAGTGTTTTTTTCTTCACAAAAACACACAATTCAGTAGTAGTAGTAGTAGTAGTAGGGTAGTAAATTACTGCTTTTCATTTTGGGTACATTTAGTTTTTAGCACCTCCTCAAAGCTGGATTAATTCATGTGTTTGGCCACGTGGCAGCAGAACAACAAACTGAAAAACAATATTGACATATTATGACTTTATAAAGAAGGGAAACTTGTTGGCAAACGGTCGCCTTGTTTAAAAAGTTTGTAGTCAACTCCACCAGCTTCAAGTCCGACGTTAGTTTGATGCTTTGCATATGAAACGATACTGAGAAGTGGAGCTTTAAACCCAGGCGATTTGAAAGGAAGTGGAGACTTGATGTTGACCGTCATTTCTCTCCTTGCTGTCTTCAAGCAACAAACATCAGATGGCAAAGAAGAGTACTTCTCCATTTGTCCCCGGGGTGGGAGGCACTCACGCCTCCAAAATCATGATGCAGTCTCTTCCTTCCACTCCCGGCGACCTCACTAGGTAAGTCCACCTTATTGTTTGGTCTACTACATTGCTACCAAGCCAATTTGGCTCCAAAAGCGAGTCGATCCCTGTCGACCCCCATGTTAGAATGCCCTTTACTTCACAACCGATAGAAACACGTTGACAGCCTGGTACCAAAAGGATTTGGTCTCTATCGCTGATTTCCCCGTTCATGACAACTGAATATTTTCTGTGATTTTGCGAATAATCTCATCTTAGAAATGTGATATCTTTTTCTTTTGTCAATCCATAGTGCAAGGATTCTGAGTGTCCAAACTATTGCTCCACCTGCTTTCACACAGTCGTATCAGAGACTGCCCACTCTGGCTGCCGCACCCCCTTCTATGACCCACGCGATGGCCACCATCCCACACCAGCCCTCATACCGAGCCCCGACGGACCGCATCTTCTACCTCGCGCACACTTGTCAGCCCGCGTGTCTGAATCGTGTCCGACCTGTAAACTCCGACTTGCACCGAGGAAAGAACCCCCTCCTCACACCGTTACTGTACGATTTCAGACGCATGACAGGACGACGAAAAGTCAACCGCAAGGTAAATTTGAATGAAGATTAGATTAATGTAGGGAAAATACGAGGCATAACGCTTACCTAGAGTTTCTCCCTTACCTTCAAACAGCCAGTTTTCCTTTATCATCCTTGCTGTTAAGCTGAATTGTACAACTCTTGTCTTCTGCGTGTCCACCCCTCAGATGTCCTTCCACGTGATCTACAAGGCTCCGTGTGGGCTTTGCCTGCGCAACATGGGAGAGATCCAGCACTACCTCTTCCAGACACGCTGTGACTTTATATTCTTAGAGATGTTCTGTCTAGACGCCTATGTGCTCGTGGACCGGCCATTCCAGCCGCAGAGGCCGATCTATTATTATGACGACATCACTGGTGGAAGAGAGGACATCCCACTCTCCTGCGTCAACGAGATTGATACCACCCCGCCTCCTAAAGTAGCTTACAGTAAGAATTACGTTGAGATGTCAACAAAGGAAGATTCACTGGGCTTGTGGCGGGATCAGACTACGCAATATTCTTTTGAAATGACTGATTTTAAACATCGGAGTCTGTTTACATCTCTTGGGTAGGATAAGTGTGTATGTGGCAAATAAATAGTATGACTCTTTTTGTGGCTCCAGAGGGAGTTATGCAAAGTCTGATAAGTTGCCTCACATGATGTCACTTGTGTCGCCGTCTGGTTGACTCACAACACCAGAAGTTTAGCAGCTCGAGGCCACATCAGTGCTACTCGCACTGTGCACTAAAGAGCAGTCTGCTCCTTTCGGTCAACATCACAGAACACATCGTTGAAGTTATGAAACTTGGCGAGAGACGGCTAAAAACATGGAGTCTTTTTCTCTCGTGTAATGCTGCGTCGGTTGTCCTCCGCTATCACACACACACTATACACAGTATAAAATGATTGTGCTCAACGCTGTTTTGTATTCCCAACATCCCACTTTAGATTAGATTAGAAAAACTTTATTAATCCCCAGTGGGGAAACTCATTTGCCACCCAAAACGCATACAGACAAAAACACATTACAAAGGATAAATAACACCAGACAATGCCATATAAAACATGATTGACTTCTGTCATGGACTATATTTGGGCTGATATTGTATTCCTAGCATTAGTTTGTGCTCTAGTGGGTGCATTGATAAATGCAGTTTGTACATATGACATCCGACATTTGTCACAAAGTGTTATTTGTTTATCTTGCTTTTAGTTTTCATCGAGCTATTGTTGTAATCCTTTAGCTCCCCGCTGCACCTGCAGGTCTTATGTGCAAAAAGACATCAAAATAAATCAGAAATAATTACCTATCCATGCAGCTGACTACTTACTTCCTTTGAAAATTCCCCGTGTAGTAAGTTATCTGTTCCTCTCTTCTCTTCAAGGTAAAGAGCGTATTCCTGAAGACGGAGTATACATCAACACCAGCCCAGACTTCCTGGTTGGATGCGACTGCACCGACGGCTGTCGCGACAAGTTAGTGAAATATTTGACCTGTTGGTTTGTCATATTTCTCCCACTTTAAATATTCTGAACACGTCTTTGCGTATTTGTCACAGGTCCAAATGCTCTTGCCACCAGCTGACCCTTCAGGCTACAGGTTGTACACCCGGGGCACAGATCAACCCAAATGCTGGATTCTTGCACAAACGATTAGAGGAGTGCCTCCCAACAGGGTCAGACATTGTACACACGGAGAGATAATTACTTTTGTATATAACTGCTATTTTGGTTGTCTAATCTCATTGGCCATCATCTCTCCTTCCCTCCGTCCGATTTTGTTTCTCTCTCCTCAGGATCTACGAGTGTAACAAGCGGTGCAAATGCTGTGCTGAGATGTGCACCAACCGGTTGGTGCAACACGGCCTGCAGGTGCGTCTCCAGCTCTTCAAGACCCAGAACAAAGGCTGGGGCATCCGCTGTCTGGATGACGTGGCCAAGGGCTCTTTTGTCTGCATCTATGCTGGTGAGGAAAGGACCAGACTTATGAGAAGATACGAGCAGACATCATGGAAAACAGACACATGCAGACATCTACATCCGTTTATTCATTGCAATACCACAGCAGATGACTTGATTGCAAAGTGACTCCGTTTCTCTTCCACTTTACCAGGTAAAATCTTGACGGACGACTTTGCCGACAGGGAAGGTCTAGAGATGGGCGACGAGTATTTCGCCAATCTGGACCACATAGAGAGTGTGGAGAACTTCAAAGAGGGCTACGAGAGCGAGGCTCACTGTTCGGACAGCGAGGGGAGCGGTGTGGACGTGGCGAGGATAAAAATCCAACCATCTGCTTTAGCATCAGCTAACCCCGTTGGGAGACCGTCCAAAAAGGGTGAGTCCAAGTCTGAAGGTGAGAGATCAAGGTGGTCCCAAATGGACCGGGTTGTATTCTCTGCTGTTTTTTTTTTTTTTTTGTTTTTTTTGGGGTCTTGATCCCAGCTCATGTTTTATCCTCCTGCACATGATTTTTCACGCCTTTTTATTTATCTATTTATTTTTCATCTGTTAAAGACCAAAGCTCATCAGGGGACAGCATTGACGACGACAAGGATTCAAAGAGCGAAGAGGAAAGCGACAGTTCAGACGACACGTTTGTGAAGGAGAACTATTTCAGCTCCAGCTCTGTGTGGAGGAGTTACACCACACGTGGTCAGGTCAAGGGCAACAAGGAAGGTGAGCTGGTGGCCTCTTCATGAGGGGTGGGAGGAGGTCAATCGTCAGTGTTTGGATTGAAACAAATGGTTAGACATTTAAGGATTTATGCTTATTCAGAGTTTGCGTTAAATTATCCATTGAAGGTAAAGAAATAGCCCGGGACATAATTACTGTAAAACTACAATTTTGTTGCACAAAATTGATGCAACATGTTTATTAGTGATCTTTAGAGGAGCTGACAGGCAGATGTTGATACATTTTCTTCAGAGCCAGGCTAGCTGTTTCCCCCTGTTTCCAGTCTTTATGCTAAGCTAACCGAGAGAAACATTTCCAAAAAAAGAATTGCTTTGAAGACATGTGGTGTCCACATTAGGCTTGGTTGTGATCTTGGTGTGAGACTGCTTTGTATACGTGTACTAAATGTGTCGTACTAGTGGGTGATTTAATACCAGTATCTTTCATCCACAGCTAGTGTGAATGTCAAATGTAGTTGAGTTAAAGGTTATATCTTGTTTCTATCTTTCTCAACACACCTCGTATTATGGGGAACATCTTCAGTGTTTCGTCTGCATTGATGTAGTAAATGTAAAGATGGGTTTGGAAGATTTCTGTTTTGTCTCCTTCCTGCCCCAGGGAGTCAAGACAGTAAAGATGGATTGAGCGCATCAGCCAGAGGAACTGATGACGATAAGCCACCGTCCATGCCAGAAGAGACGGGGAAAAGCAAAGTGGCTTCCTGGCTCACCAGCCAGGGGATGAAGAAGGTGAGTAAAGAGGAGATGGAGTGAGAATGTGTCATGGATTTGAGCTCTGTGTGCAAAGCCTTTTTTACAATAATTGCAGTGTCTCACACATAAATATAAACACAGTCCTGCTGTTTCTGCTCATTAGAACTCATCTTAGATCTGCTATCTTTAGTAAGAGGATTGATTGTAAAAGGTTTTATTATCATGATCGTCTTGCACAATGATCGATAACCCTCCATTCTTCTGTTTTCCATCACAGGATTCCGGAGACGGCAAGAGGTGTGTTGCACTTAACAAATTATGCTTGGAATGGATTATTTTTTCCTGATTTCAACATATTGTTTTTAACAATAATTCAGCAACTCTGTGATCATTACCTCACATAAAGTTAGATTGCTTTTAAGATTAACTTTGTGTTTCTTGCAGTCAAGTGAAGTCGGAAACGGTGAAGAAGCCGGATGTGATGACTCTCTCTGACAGTGATGAGGTTCAGACCATCAGCTCTGGATCGGACGACAACAAGGAGAGAGAAAAAGTCAACCTGGGTGAGGGGGAGAAAATACTTGAATTTACACTCCACTGATGACTGCATGGTTTTCACTGTTTTTACTTTCCTTCCTTTCTTGCTCGCTCCTGTTGCTGCTTTTCTGGTTCAGGTGTGACTAAGAAGCAGGTAGCGGTGAAATCAACGCGTGGCATCGCCCTAAAGAGCGGCCACGGGATGATGGTGAAAACGGGAATGATGGCGAAAACAGGAACCCCTGGAGGCGGGGGAGGGCCGGGAGGTCAGGGAGGAAAAACAGGACAGCAGGGCCAGACTGGAGGAGGTGGGGAGAACGCTTCCAAAAACACCCGCCTGTTCTTTGACGGAGAAGAGTCCTGCTACATCATTGATGCCAAGTTGGAAGGCAACCTTGGGCGTTACCTCAATGTAAGTGTGTAATCTCAATGTGTGATTGTGTGTGTGTGTGTGTGTGTGTGTGTGTGTGTGTGTGTGTGTGTGTGAGTGTGAGAGTGTGTGAGAGAATCTTTTATCTGATCATATCTATCTCCTCTTGGTATTACAGCACAGCTGTAGTCCCAACCTTTTCGTGCAGAATGTGTTTGTGGACACACATGACTTGAGGTTTCCCTGGGTGGCGTTCTTTGCCAGCAAGTGAGTTTGGAAACACATTTTAAATTTGTCACAGATTATGGATGGGCCAAATGACCAAAATCATATATCCTGATACAAGTCATTTCATATATCTAGATAACAATATACCTCACAATATAGTATGTTCTCTGGTAATTAAATAAGCAAATAGTCTATATGAAATAACTACATGGTAAAGCCAATTTTTGTACAGTAATTAAATACTAAAAGTACTGAGTATTTTCTCCGTTTAATAGAACTGGTCTCAGGAGCCGCAGGAGAATGATGCTAGATTTTATGGGGTGTTTATACAGTGTTAACTTCACCTGTTAGTCCAGGAGAAGGCAGTTATGAATGCACTACATTAGCTTTAAGTTAATGTATTGATGAGCTCTTACCCTGCACTCACTTGCCTGATTGTGTCGTCGTGCAGGCGGATCCGGGCCGGCACAGAGCTGACCTGGGACTACAACTACGAGGTGGGCAGTGTGGAGGGGAAGGTGCTGCTGTGCTGCTGCGGATCCACTGAGTGCAGAGGAAGACTGCTGTGATCTGCAGCCATCATTGACTTCACTGCCGTTACTGCATCTGTAGGAACCTTAGAGGATCTCTTTTAGCACCCTGACGTTGCTTCTTTTTAAGTTGAACTTTGTGTTTTATTACAGCTGTTTTTGTTGTCTTTATTTTATATGAACGTGATGTTTTTTTCTTCATCTAAATAAAATGCAGTTTTCGTCAAGGAGTCAAAGCTCTCACAGCTGTTCTTTTGTCAAATAGCAAATGTAGATGAAGAGGTATGTTCACAAATATATAATATAATGTATAAATATATATGTAATTCTCACCACATCATTTATAAAAAATATTTAATCCCGCTAATGCTACACAAGCATTTTGTTTTCTGTAACTAAAGCATCTGGTAACAAATATCAAATCATGATGTTATAATTTAGTTATCAAATGTAATGCGTCTTTTTTTTCTATTCTCGTAGCTTTATATTCATGAGCTCTGGTGAGACTGACCAATCGGCTCTCCTAAAACAACAATAAATAAACCGACAGACGGACTTCTGCCACCACGCGCAGATAACCCGCTCTGGAGTAGATCCATTACATTTATCAGCTATTTTCATCGATTTATTGAAAGATTTTCTGAAATGTTTTACTACCCCACAGTTTTGAAGCGACATTCAGGATGTTTCTCTACAATCTGGTGAGTAAAAATAATATGGACTATTTTAAATCGATGTGAAGTTATGATGACTCGTGGTTTGATTTCGTCTCCGGGTGTTAAATGTATTATTAATGGGAAATCTCTTTAACTGGGTTTATGATTTATTATTGGGTTTTAGAGACTTTACTTCAACGCTGCTGTTGACTGGAAGTTGGGCTATCGTGTGTGTGTGTGTGTGTGTGTGTGTGTGTGTATATGTATGTATATGTATGTATGTATATGTATATATATATATATAATTTTGAATATTACATTAAAACCTTTGTAAATGCGTCCATCGTCTTTCAAACACTTTAAATATAAAATCAAGCTCACTCAAATTAAAGTTTTTGTCACAACCATCATTTAATCCAAAAAAGTCAAGTAAATACCAAATGAAATAGACGGACATCTTAATAATTAACGCTACTGTAAAGGCTGATTTAAATGCATATTGTTTCGTTTTTCTGTTTAAAGGGTTTACTCTTTACTCTAGAGATTTTGTTTAGGGAAAAATTGCCCAGCGTGTATAACCAATGCACATATTTTTGTATTTAAAATACAATTTTAAACCTAGATTCTCCATCATATAAAATACATTTTGGAGCACACACGCACTTAAACATACAGTTTGGGCTTTTTTTTGTTTTTTTGTTTTTTCCAAGAGTGCAGGTGCACCAGTGGCAAAGAAAACAAAGATCTAACAACACAGACTGCAAGCAAAACAAGGCTGAGGCTTTGAAGTCCCTTTAAGACCGCAGCTTTGAAGATGAGCTAAAGGTCAAAGGTTACATTATGGGAATAAGACACAAAAAGGCATGTAAACTTGTAGCAATTATTGCTGAAATGAGAAACTCTTTACTTCTTAATTTAGCTTTATTGGCATTACCATAATGAAGTACAGTACTGCCAGGGCAGGCTGATCGAGGGTTATGACATAAACATAATGATTCAGGATTTAAGAAAAAAAGGCAACAAAGAGTGTGCACATTATTACACTCTATGCTATCATGAAAAAGATGTCATTAAAGACATTTCTGGCACGTTTTAGCTTTAAACATTGGGTTCAATTTTGTTCAATTTAGGCTTAAACATTACTTTGGTCCTGTACACTAGTAAACTGAGCTGTGTCTATAATATGAAGCAGGAATTTAGCTTGAAAAACTATTTTAGAGAGCACTGATGTATTAGCAAATATATGAATATTCAGCAATATGAATATTCAGCAATATGAATACAATGACAAAAATATACTTTATAAAATCTTACACAGCTTCAGCTTTGATGGATGAAGGCTGTCTCAGATCGTCTCAGATAGTTGAGCATCTTTAATTTTCTCCTTCAGTGCTCTGATCATATGCTGTCAATGATAACAAGTTGTGTGCTTTTTCTAACTTATTTTTTTAAATTGCTGAGCAAAAGAGTGTGGTAAAAACCTGGGTAAGCATTAAAGGCCTCCATACTGTACCTTATACAAGAGAGGGGTGTTTGTGTGTGTGGTCTAGGGTTTACATCAGAGACTCGTCCCAACCTAAATCACAGTTGCTAGTTGAGTTCAAGAGGTTGCAGATTAAATATCAAATGCTCCGTGTCCATTTCAGGCTGGTTGCTACAAAAGGCATCAGAGTTCGTCGCCGAGATTTCCTACAAGTCAACGTCAAAAGAACCTGGTGAGAAGTCGTCACTGTCCCGTATTTATAATTGGCTGAACTGTGAATCTGTCCAGTTACAATGAAGCTAATGTCCATACAGCGATGACATCATGGACTACGTGCTGGAGCAGGTCCCGCCCCCTCGACCTGGTTTGCCTCGACCTCGCTTCTCCCTCTACCTCTCCTCCCAGCTCCAGTATGGCGTCATCCTCGTCTACCACCGACAGTGTGCTATTTTCCTGGGTAAGAAGTCACCAACAGACTGGAGCAGAGATGTGCACTGGTTCTCACTGGTTCTAGTTCAGGAAGGGTTCCCACATTATATAGAATTGGTCTGTTTAAATGAAAGGTATTCTCATGCCACTAAATCCAAAGGCTCGCTTCCAGTCTTTAACAGTTGCTACTTTTTCATTAATCCAGTGCAATAAAATGTTCAGTAAGAACACAGTATCATCTCGTATTGTTTTTTAATGTTGCATGTTAGCTTGGGAGGCCTAGGATGAGGGACACGGTTCTCCAGTTCCAGACATGAAATGACCAAAAAATAAAAAGTTTGAGCACCATTTTCTTGTCTTTGGTGAAGGAGTAGATCTTAAAGAATGTCTACAGTTGGGTGATATATGCATTCCGTGTTTGATCTTAAAACGATATGGCGTTGTTACAATCCCAGACTGAAACTGGTTTGGCATGTCTCCGGATGTCTTTCCGCTCTTCTTCATGGATTGTGACAGGTAGCTCATTCTCCCTTGTGCCCCTAACTGTAAAGTGCAGAACTCATAGCCTCATAGAACAGACTGACTGACAGCTTTCCAGTTGTTAGAAATAACAATTTTTTCAACAGGAGATCTTTCCGCGTTGGTAAATTCTTGCTGTGCACTGCAATATATATAACGCCTTGTCTGCAAATAAGTCCTCCATTCTACTGATTTCATTGTTGCCGCGCCGTCTGAAACCAGCAGCAGACAACCCAGGCTGGAAATTCAGATTGTTAACAATAGGGGTGGAAACAGATGTCAGTTTAGACCTTCCCTCGGTTCTACACACTGATAAGTAATAAGACTTGTGTCCTTCCAGAGGAACTTCAGACCGTTGTGGGCGAGCTGGTGAAACAGAAAACGTCCCAGAAAATTGATATGGATGGTCACGGCAGGTGAGAACAGGTGCTCAACATTTCATACATTAGTCTGCACTTAAAAACACAAAGTAACTCCTGTTTCTTGCTGCTGGGCCGCCCGATGTCTCTCAGACCATCTGTGGACTTTCTTGACCCCCTGTCTCTCCTGGAGGAGGCAGAAGGAGCTCCTGACCCTTTATTCGGAGTGATGTACATGCGGGAGCCCATACCCAGTCCCAATACACTGATACAGGTACGCAAATACTCAGACAATGAAGGAGATTTAACACGTAGCCAACACTGTTGCGCTGATAAAACGAGTGTACTCTTCTGTCTTTCAGATGGGTCGGGAGAATCTGCGAGAAACATCGCCTGAGCATCCTGAAATGAGTCCAACTGCTGCTGCTGCACTAGAGAGCGGTAGGATGACTTGATGTGCTGCAATGACATGAAAATAATGATCCCTTCAGGGCATCATTGCAGGTCCAGAAAACAGAATAAATTGGCATATGGTAGCATTTGAACCAGTCCTGTGTCACCGCAATATGTGCAGCAGAACGGTGTTTGGCTTCCTTCAGCAAACCTCCGTCGGCCAATGAGTGGGGAGCTCACGTCACAGGAAACATGGGAGAGGCCAGGCGCTCATTGCGATGACACAGAGCTAGTTGAAAATTCAGCACGGTTTCCCTTTCGCAGCACATTAAGAAAAGATATTTTAACGTCCCGTATGAACAGAAGGAACGATTACAGCATGCATGCTTGAAACGCTATTGAGAGGGAATACACAAGGCCTGTCCTGATTCTTTGATTGTCGGCATTAATTAAAAAGTCAGCTGTGCAGCTTTAGACATGCAAAAACATGTCCAGCATTGTACAATATGTCGGATTGCGTGCAGCGAATATGCACAGAAAATACCAACAGGTCACAGGAATAGACGGAGCTCGGATTGTGCCAATCCAGGTGGAAATCCAGAGCAGCACAAAGCAGAGAGACGGCGTAGGTCAGGTCAGGGCAGAGCAGACGGCCTCCTAATTGGCAGAGGAAGATGCCGCGGTGTCAGGAAGTGTCGTGTCGCTGCATCTCACTCTGCAGAAGAGAGCACTTTAATTGCAGCTTGATTAGTTGTGTCCTGCTGTTGAAATAATGGGCTCTTTTTTCTCATTAATGTCACCCATAGTTTCCCCAGGCATAACTGCGTCTCAAGAAAGCATTACTCTAAAAGAGACGGAGCCTGTCGCTATCCCTGTTGCAGAGGTACGACTGTCAGGAGAAGCTCATAAAAAGACACGCACGTTTTTGTACCATGCTGGTCTTCACTTGCATTCCTCCCTTCTCTTCCTTCTTCTCTCTGCTAGTTTGAGGGCGAGGAGCTCGTCGATCAGCATCCGGACACTATTGGCTTTCTCATGGCCCAAACAAATCACTTCCCAGAAGGTGCGTGGTAAAACTAGGAGCTCCTTTCTCTCGAGAGACAAGGGTGACGATAACATAGTGATGTTTTTGTCTTTCTTTAATCTTTTCGAACAGAGGAGTTCAAGATGCCGAGAGAAGAGGTGACACTGGGAGACCAAGAGAGGGAGATGGAAAGGGGCGGAAGTGAGGAAGACCTAGAGAAAGATAGAACAAAAGAGCCCCCAGGATCCTCTACTGAGTAAATTATCCAGCTGCACATAGAGACATCAGCACACACACACAGATCCACACAAGTGCACACTGACTGTGTTTCTACATGTGTCAGGTCACAGCCCACCAGGATTTCTAGTGAGGACGCCGTGCTGTTGCCTCAGGAAGAGCCAGACCTGTCCGCCGAGAAGCCTGGACCCCCGTCAGACCAGCTCACCCCCGTCTCTGGGCCCGTTGTCCCGTCCCCGCCATCTGCAGCAGAGGAACGTGGAAGTCCAACCCTACAGTCGGAGGTGCAAGCACACCCATGTTTTTCAAATCAGATTCAGATTGATAAATGGCCAGGACTTCCACGTTATAATAGTTTGTCGTTTTAAATGTTCATAAATGATGAATACAGGTTATTTACAGAAGTCTATCAAGCCTGCACTTGTAATTGGTAATATTGTTATTAAATAGATTGTGGTCCAGTGGTTGAAAGGTCTATTGGAGGTGTTTTTCTGATGAATAAAAGAGCGAGGTAAAAAAACAAACAAAGCAAATGTCAAACTGAGGGAGAGTAAACACCAGCAACCTGGCAACCCAAAAGTAGTTCTTATTATAAAGAAGCACCCAGACTACTACTTAACAGCTGGAGGAAAGTTCTGGTAAACTTACTTCCCCTCCCATGCCCAGGATGAGCCTTCTCCAAAGGTGAAGACGAGGAGGAAGAGGCAGCTGATCTTCTTTGACTCGCAGACGCAGATCGACCAGGAGGTGCTGCAGCAGCAGATCGACGACCCTCTGACTGAGACCACACCAGCAGTTTACCTGCCGTCGCCTTCTGACAGGATACCCTCTGCTGCTGAGCTCTTCAACACTCCCTGCACCTGTGAGTAACACACCTGGAAAAAAAAAACAAACACCGGTTTTCCTCATACTCATCTGCTCCTACTACTGTGACTTTAAAATATCTGACTCAAGTTATCTTTTCAAAAATAAACCTCGAAGCTATTTTTTTCCCTGCAGTCTTGCCAGAAGAGGTGCTGTTTCTATGGAGACGTTCTGCGACCATCACGCCCGTCTCCGGCTCAGACCTGCAGGCCGGGGAGAGAGGGCCCGAGTCCTCTGAGTCCGAAAAGGAAAGGGAGCGCGAGATGGTTGAGGCGGCGGAGGCATTGGTAAGAGAGGTGTGGAGGGACGTTTATTCGCTTTTTTTTTGTGCTGGGAAAAGATGGGAAATGTCACAAAATGAATGAATGACTGACTGATTGATTGTGTGTGTGTGTGTGTGTGTGTGTGTGTGTGTGTGTGTGTGTGTGTGTGTGTGTGTGTGTCTGTGTGTGAATGCAGGTCCCCAGAGATGTGGCAGAACCAGAGTTGTTTGATATTTCAGGTACACCATGAGACAGCTCGTTTGTGTTAAACTGGGGGTGAAGTTGTTGCTCAATGATTCCACTGTAGTTGCATTCAGCACAAGCTGAAGTGGTTTTATGTCTTCCCTGAGGTGAAGCTGAGGTCAGAGGTCGGGGTTAGGCATGTATCACTTATGGTTGAGGGTTAGGCCAAGCCTCCAGGGAACCAATACAAGCCAATGCAATGTCCTCAAAAGTGTGTGTGTTTGTCCAGAGCCCGGCTCACTGCTGCTGGAGGGCTCCGACCAAAGGGAGGTGACTCGAGAGATCTCCCCCATATACACATCCGAGAAAGAAGGGTAGGTAGCTTTAAAAAACAAAAAAATGTAAAGAAAGATATGTGGAGAGTGTGAGTGCAGACGATGCTGACGGGCAGATGTGTGTTGGCAGGTCTGTCGTCTCCAGGTCTGCTTCTGCACTGCAGGACATCCCAGAGGTGGAGGACGAGTTGCCGGGGATTGCTGCAGAGGAGTCTCCTGGGTAATGACAGTGAACGCGACACCGTTACCAACCTGTAAAAACGTCCGAGCTAAGAAGTTTGCTTTTATAAGAGTACGATTATGTGCCTGTGTGTTAAAGGCTGCTGCCGGATTTGCCCGAGCATGAAGCACCCGTGGTGTTTCAGTCTCTTCTGCCGCCAGACGGCGACCGCAGAACTGTCAGCAACACCTTTCAGAGGCTCCTGGGTGAGGACTCGGTTTCAGTTATCATCCAATCATCTCACTACACATGTTGAAACTGTGTTAATGCTACAGCATTGACAGTGGAGGAAACTCTGTAATGCATAATTCTGTGTGAGATCTTTGAAAATACCAAATGGTGTCCCGAGTGGAAGCTTCAATAATGAGATGGAGGTACTGAGGGACCAATAACACACTGGAGTCATGTACAATAGTTCATAGAAATAGAATTGGATTTAAAATGAATGTATTTCAACCACTTTTAGTTCCAGTAGAAGTCCTACATAATGTTTTTGTTTTTATTTACAGTAAGTGTACGTTTTAAACTCTGTGTTTCTGTCTTGTCTGCAGAGTTTTTATCGGCCAGGAAGATGCGTGCGGAGCAGGACGAGCCGTATGGTGACATACTGATATTCCCTGGGACCAACTACGGAGAGGTGCCTCTGACTCTGTGAGGGGGGCACACGGTCCCTCGAGTCAAATCATTGTTCAGCCTGATAGAAGATCATTTGTCTGTTTCCTACCGTTCACTTCATCAGAGAAAAAAAAAAATCGTGATTTAAACAATTTTATACAGAGAAAAATAACAGTCAATTGTTTTGTTACTGATCACTTCATAAGATTTGTTATTGGTGTGTCTTGTTGTTTGAAAGGATTTTTAGTTTTTAAAACACTTTACCTGCTGCTTCATATGAACTCCAAAATAAAGTCTTCATAAGAGCTCTGTCAGTTATGTTTTGTCAAAGAATGTGCTGTAAATTGAAAGGTATGTGTAGAGCATGCAGAGCAGGACAGGCGTGGCACAACATGTCGCAGAGGTTAAGGAGGTGCAAGGAGAAAAGTAAGTACGATGAGTGAAACTGGATCTCTCCTCCCCCTGACCACATCTTGATTCTCCTCTGAAGACTTTCTCAGGGGGTTGTGACCAAAGTGTATTATTAGCATCCGCCTCAGCTCTCTCGTTCTCACCCTCTCTATCTGTCCTCCGCCTCCTGTCTCTTCGTCTCATTTCTGTCCGTCGCTTTCTGTTTTTGTCTTCGGCTTTCTTTTTCACGTCCGTTTGATTTTTGCTTTTCTTTGTTCCTCTTCAGCTATTTTCTCTTCTGTCGGCTTCATTTCTTCACTTCTGGTTTCCGTTGACAGCATCGCAAGCTATATTTTACTTTTGTCACAACTCAATGTCCTGCAGCTTCTCTCTGTGCCATTGCTTTAATATTGTATTGTCCCGTCCTTGCTTTTTCTCTCCATAACTCCTGGTCGTCTAGTGTTCCTGCTTTTGCTTCACCTGCCTCTCTCCTTCACCTCATTACGCCCCTCCATCCTCTTCTCATCTCCGAGTAGCTCTGTGCTTCTGCATAATGGGGAAGACAGAACTGTGCTCTCTCTATAAGGGTTTTCTGGACTGTATTTGCCTCTGCCTCTCTGTGAGTATCTCTATTTTCTGTGCATGCATTTGCTGTTTTCTTGCTTCTATTTCTTCCTACCAACAGTCACCGCCGCGTCATGGTCGACGTTTGACCTGAAATCCCCCGCACTATGTGGTGAAGTTTAAGTCATAATTTAGTTTTCCAGCTCCACACATCATGTGTGTTTACATGCGTTTGTGTATGGTCTATTTCGTTGCCCGTGCCCTGAAGTAAGTGTCTCCTCAGCACATGCTGATATTAATAACAGTCTCAGAATGCGGATAGAAATAGAGCCTCAGCTCCTCCAAAGAGGCCAGAAGTCATTTGACATTTCTTATTAACCTCCTTTAGAACAAACTCAGGTCGTCAGGATCAAACTCAATGCAAAAATATTTTTTTTTTCTTTCATCACGGCTGCATTTAGAGTCTGTGATTTTGGAGAAATACGTGACATTAAGCACCTTTTAATGCAGACTAGCTTTCACTACGTGTGCATTTGTCTGCACGTAAGTTTGAATGCATCAGTCTTGAATCCACCTGATGACCGCTGCCCTTTCAGACCCCCATAGGTCAGGTGTCACTCGCATCGTCTCAGCCTTTAGTTGGATTGTGGAGAAAGGCACAGAGGCAGGTTGATCCCGACCCAGACTTCTCTTCTTTTGCTCCAGCTGTCATAAATGTGCCTTTGCTTCTAGCGAAGCAGCAGTGAGGCTGCAGGCGATAATGAGAGGGACACTGAGAACGGCCACCTGATCTACAAAAGTGGGGACGTCCTCGAAGACAGATGTAGGTATCACGTGTAAGGGGTGGCAGCTGTTGTAAAAAAATGCTCCAGCTGTAATTTTATTTAATAAACTCTCTTACAGATGAGATAGTCGACACTCTGGGTGAGGGAACCTTTGGGAAGGTTGTGCAATGCTCGGACCACAGCAGGTATACTTTGCAACATCTAATAATAAAAGTGGGACCACAATGCAATGGGTGTTTCGTGCATTTAACGACAGAGTTTTAACACACAGAGGAGGAAATCGAATTGCTCTGAAGATCATTAAGAACTTGGAGAAATACAGAGAAGCAGCCAAACTGGAAATCAATGTTTTGGAGAAGATCAGGACGAGAGATCCAGACAACAGACAGTGAGTAGTTTGTAGTTTTGACTCTTTTTATGTCTTATACCTTTCATCTCTCTTTCCTACAGCGATCAGACCACTTAGCTCTCCCTGTTAGCTCACCTTGTGCTCTAAACTCTACTCTAACTGGTCTTGTTTTCTTTGCACTGGAACTGAGCTACCGTGCTTGTACCAAACAATTACCACCATCTTCTTTTCCCATCAGCCACTGTGTGCAGATGCTGGACTGGTTTAACTACTACGGCCACATGTGCATCTCTTTTGAGCTGCTGTCTCTCAGCACCTTTGACTTCTTGAAAGCAAACAACTTCCTGCCTTATCCCATTAACCAGATCCGACACATGGCCCTCCAGATCTGCCACGCTGTCAGCTGTGAGTCCAACATGCATCACACCACTTTGCTTTTTCTCTTGTACTTCAGGATCAATGTCAGTGATGACAGTAAGTGGATTATAACAGCTGTCCCGTGCAGGAGCGAACAAGCCAGGTAGATATTTAGAGGGTCACCTGAGGATGATAGGAGTGTTCCCGATTCCCCCATGCAGATTAAAGTGAAAGACAAACATAAACATTCAGATTATTTTCATTCAGGATTTCTGATGTATAGGATTTTTGGGTTTATTTTCCTCCTACAAATCTAGTCTGACTGTTAAACCAACAAAGAACTCGACCAGACGAGGGCGTTGGCTCTCTCCTGATACGTCCCAATCTACTTTCCCTCCTCCCTCTGTCTCCACTGCAGTTCTCCATGACAACAAGCTGACTCACACCGACCTGAAGCCTGAGAACATCCTCTTTGTCAACTCAGACTACTCGCTCATATACAACGCTGAGAAGGTAAACAACTGCAGGCAGGAAGCTGGGACCTTTGGGGGTGAAAGAAAGACAGGTTGTTAAATAAGCAGGGATTAATGCAGGCAGAGCAACTGGGGACGTTTGCTTTGCCGTTGCTCATTTGGATGCAAATTTTGCTCAGCAGAACCTGTGAACCACCCACAGGTAGTGTTTGCTGACCTGAGTGGGACAGTGCAAAATTGGCCTCCATTGATGTGCCCACCAAAGAGCAAACCTGAATCCTATTCATAGTGTTCCAGCTCTGATTTCTAAGTGATCTGATTTGTGTTTTCACCGGACATTCAGGCTGCAGGTTTAAAATGATGTGTCTTAAGTAAATAACTGTGTGTTGTTATTTGCAAAAAGTGTGTTTCAGAATTTCTAACTTAGTGTCAAGCCGACAATGTGCTTATGGTTCATCACACCTGGTCAATAGATGAGTTAGTGGTTTCAATAATTGTGCTCGAGAACCAGTTTTTCTGTCTTGGCAATTGCAAAAAAACTGTAAAAGCAAAGTTCTACATGTTAGCTTTAAGTTAGCCGGCTACAGACCGTCTGTGAGAGTGTGTTTGTGTTCAGCTGACTGAACTCTGGTCCTTGCTGTTATTTCTCTCCAGTCTCCCTCTTTGTTTTAAAACTGTTCCTTTAGGATAGTTGCATGTGCACAGTTTTCCTTTGCAAAAGGGGATTATTACCAACACAGGTGTGCTTACTTACTACCAAGTAAAGTGTTGTGTATCTGACTAAAGGGTTGGCTTGTTTACGTTCTGTCTTCCTTCAGAAGTGCAATGAGCGGAGAATGAATGACACCACAGTGCGGCTTGTTGACTTTGGCAGCGCCACCTTTGACCACGAACACCACTCGGCCGTCATCTCCACACGTCACTACCGAGCTCCAGAGGTCATACTGGGTAATAGATGTTGATTGAGACCAGGGAGTGACCAGCTGTCAGTCCTATTCACTTGTGTTGAAGGTTTTGTCCCTCTGCTCTCTCCCACAGAGCTGGGTTGGAGTCACCCGTGTGATGTGTGGAGTATCGGATGCATCCTGTTTGAATACTATGAAGGCTTCACACTGTACCAGGTCACATGTGGGATTGTATTGGTAAAATCAGAGCATGCTGAAAGTTGTACGATTGTGATTTTGTTGACATGATCTTCGCTTTTAGACTCATGACAATAAGGAGCATCTTGCTATGATGGAGAGCATACAGGGACCGGTTCCTCAGAGAATGATCCAAAGGAGCAGGTAACACACTCCTGTACACTGTTGCACAAAACACACATGGAAACAAACTTTACCGGACCAAACATGATTTTTTTTCTTCACAGAAAGCAGAAGTATTTCCACTGTGGGCGTCTCGACTGGAATGAGTGCTCCAAGGCCGGACGCTACGTGAAAGCCAAGTGCAAACCATTAAGGGTGAGCTGTGGCGGATGCAAACTTTTAATCATGAGCCACATTAACTCCCTACAACAACACGTTCCTCTCTGTGTCTTTTCAGAATTACTTGTTATCACATGGAAGAGACCACCACCTGTTGTTTTACCTCTTGGAGGGGATGCTGGAGTACGAGCCCTCGACACGCATCCCTCTTTCCTCTGCCCTGCGTCAACCCTTCTTCCTGCCTCTTCATCATCCAGGAAGGAGTCAAGTCTGGAGGAACAGCTGTGATATGAGCAGATGAGACCCTGAATAGACACTTGACTCTGTGCGGACCATACCAGTGTGTTTGCAAGTACTACTTTCTCAACTGCAAAACATGTATTACATTTCAATCAGGAGGCTAAAGAAGTTATACATTTCTATGTTTGTTATAAAGTGCAGAATATGAAAAGTTGAAGAAATACTTTATGTGAAGAGTCTTTGGCAAGTAGACTGATTTCATGGGGGTAGTCATGCCGTGAGCCCGACAGGAACATTACCCCGAAGGAGTCGGGTGATGGTGAAAGGGTGAAGAACAAAAGGTGAAGGATGTGGAAGTGGAAGGATGCGTTGGACAGGTGTTTCTGATCAGACTGGAGGTGAATGGGGTCGAGGTGGGTCATGTCGAATTGTATGCTGAACAGCTGACAGCAGCAGAGAAAGGAATATTTGTTTGACTCCAACCAGATGATTGGTGACGCCCTCAGTCAGCTGATTGAGTAGGAAAGAAAACATCAATCTATATAATTAGAGTGAGGCAAGTCGAGGCAATTATATTCACAGTATACAGCAGATTTAAAAAAAAAGTGTCTTTTCATTCATGTGTCGGTATGAAATTTTTTTAGCAGACCCTTAAAAGTTGCATTACTTTTTGTAAATGTTACATTAATTGATTTAAAAATACATTACAACATTAATGTAACTTGCAATCCTTGACTTTCACTGAAACGTTTCAACAGTCTGCTGATTTTTGTGTCAAACAGAAATGAGTGGAAACCAATGGATGATACGGTTAGTTGGTACTGTAAATACAAAACTTGCAGAACTACCGGGTGCTGACTGATCGTCACATGTAAGTACATCAAGTCAGCTCCAAAAGGTCTCTCTAAAACGTTGAGGACGTAGTCACAAAAGCTTATATGCAACCTTTAAAAGTATCTTTTCACTGTTACGCTCTCAGTCACTTTATAAAAATATTTTTTAGTGTTTTTTGTCATACGCTTGTTATTGAATGACTTCTTTAGTAGTAAAATAAATTCAGTTTTTAATCGGCCCATCCATATCTCACACTTCTTACTTAACTCCAGTTTACTGGCTGAACCTCCTCTGGCATCTCGATGGAGTGCAGCTCAGCAGAGAGGACGGTCACAAGGCTGAGCGAGCGTGTGCGCCTGCCAATGTTCACTTTCAGCCTGGGCAGAGCGGAGAGAGACGTACTGTCAAAGTACGTGTGTTTGACTGGGTGAGACCTTACTTTTGATGTATGTGTGTGGTTGTGTGGGAGGTTGTGTGTACTTGTATGTGTGTGTATAATGAGGGTATGTATATGTTTGTGTATATGATCTTATTCCTTGGCTGTCAAAAGGCATGAACATCCCAGATTTGTATGTGTGAATGGAGATTTGTTGAAGGAAAGTAAATCAATGTCTTTGTGTTTAATACAGAACTTAGTTTTTTAACAAATATATTACATGTTATATATATAGTGTATTTACAATTATACTTAGAATTTGACTGTTTAAATCTTGGGATTTGAGAAAAGGACTACTGAAGTATGAGTGAGAGTCTGGTGAATTTAAACAGATTATTTTAGAAGAAGCTAGACCTAGAAGCTGTGGCCATCACTGAATGGGGCTTGAGCAGGTGGTTTAACAGGCTGAGACGCCCTCGTGTGATGCACGCTGACTGCATGTGCACCAGCTTTGTACCAAAAGGTCCGTGGAAACATCTCTGTGCCAAAACGTCTCTTAAATCATCGGTGTAGTGTCTCCTAGTTTAGCTACCATTCTCTGCAATAGACCTGAAACCTAAAAGACGAAAATAATAGTTATTTTTCACTTTTATTCCTATTTATTATCTTCAAATTACATGACATTACCTGTAAAAGCAAATGTGAGAATGATACATTGTTGGATTATAAGATTTCTTAGCTGCAGGACCACATCTTCACTTCACTGCTCTGGTGTCAGTCTGCAATAATATGAAATAATATGATCAGCAATTACACAAAAGAAACGACTGTAATGTCATTTGAGTAGTCCCTTTTTAATTGCCCCCACACTGGATTTTACAAAGTGTGCATTGCTCATCAAAAATGAGCTTGAGTGTGTTAATAATCGACAGAAGTTGTGTTTGGTTGCTCTGATATAAGCTACAAGATATTGGAGAATATTAACATATCTCAGATTTAGGGTCGGTAACGTGCTCAACCTCTATTTCTCCCTTCTGTGGAGAAATCCTATTGACACAGGAAACGATGGTTGGATGAGTAAACTGATCCCGGATCTGTCTCTGACCATGAGCTTGAAGGAGGCGTGGCTTGTCTTGGTGATCTTGTTAAAGCATTAAAGTGTCCTCACCTGCCAGAAAACAAAGTGGTCTGGGCAGTAGAGGGCAAAGAAAAGGAGGGAAACAAGTGATCGAGGAATATTGAGTTGTTTGGTTGAAGAGTTTAGAGGCTATGTGAGTGAGGGCATTAGAGTAGGCCATAGAACACACAACTCACTGAGAGGAGACATTCAAAGACATGCACAATGCAGAAAATGTGCAAAGAGGGAATCAAGGAATACACATGGGTAACACTTTACTTCAACTCCCCTAATTTAGCACTCATTAGCATCATGTAAACATATAATGAATGAATTAACACACTATTATGTAGCTGTAAGCAGATTTAAGTGTTTATTAGTGTGTGTCAACAGCTAGATTGAATGACAGTATAGTGAAATACAGGTGTAACAATATAAAATATGTCTTGTAAATTTGTAAATGTCTGTATAACTGGTTACAACTACATCATAGAGTGTAAAACCATTATTGAAAATACAAACGTTTTATTAGATGTTCATTTAGTACTTTTTATTTTTAACTACATTTTTTTGGCACAGATATAAGGCATAGAATCCAGAAAAAATGAGATATGCGTCAGCAGAGGTGGCCTTTTCTGGCATGTTCATTATTATTTTGTGTATTTTTCTAAATATATATATATATATATATATATATACTGTATATATAAACATTTTAGAGGGATGATCTCACTTTGTCCCTTCCTCTTTAATAGTTTAGGCAGCTTTTTGGTCCAGTTGTTAATCATTTTCTCTGTGACTCCGATGCTGCTGTCTCAGGCCAGATTCTCTCCATGCAGGTGTCTCTTTGTTTCATTTCCTCTCCCCAAATCTGTGATCATCTCTTCACCTCTGGATATCCAGAGAGCCAAATACTGATTATGTTCTTCTAAGGAACTGAAAGCGTGTTATATCTTGATAATTGTCTGAATTGAACGGCTTTCTGGTTGGCTGAGTTTGAAGAACGTTATCCACTACCTCTTTTGTCACCTTCCCAAATGAGGTGCTGAACTGCTCCTTAAAAATCCCAAAATGCAGCATCGTAAGAGCACAACTGAGATCCAACAGGAACAACACTAACGTCATGCCTGCGAATGCATGCGTGTGTCACTCAACATGACATCAGCTTGTTTCTCTAAATCTTCATCACAAACACATGAGTCATCGCATTCATTACCTGCAAAGGCTAACGAGATTCCCCTCGTTAAGTCCTTTAAGTAGCGATCTGTTTGGGAGAGGTGGGGGTGTTGAAGAGTGGAGTGAGTCTGGAGGACTCAAGCAGCAGCAGCAGAAGAAGAGGATGAAACCTGGACCAACAAACAGTCATTTTCTCCTGTGAGGGTCACGGAGCACAGGAACAACATCCTGTGGAGAGTCTTCTGCTGTTTCTTCTGGTTCTCTCTGAGTTGCTGTGAAGCGTTGGGGGATTGTCTGGTTGCGGTGGAGGCCACCTGGCTGGAGCTTTATCAGGATTGTATGCTGTGAGCCTTTGGCCTTCTGTGGCCACCTGCATGGGCAAGTAAACTGTGGACTGGACAAACATGATAAATGTTAATGTCGTGTGTATCTTAGTGATAAGTGGCCCGAATAAGACTTTTTGTCCCCATGTGGTTTCCATCTTTCTCTTGTATATTCCCTTTTCCTCTAGATGACAAACACTTCATCTGTGAAAGAGTTAACTAAGTCTGTGTGTCTGAGCCTTGTCTGACTGACGTCCTTGTCCTTGGCAGGTCTCAATCTGAGGTATAGCCTCCACAGGACCTGAGATTGTCCTGTCAGAGCAGCACAACATGAGCGAAGGAGAAATTTTTTATATATTCACCCAACATTCTGGTTAAGAAGTAGGGCTGTGGTCATTCCCTCCCATTCTGAGAGTCCCGGTGCATCATGGAGTCTGTGGTGAGAGTGAAAAAGTTGCTGAAGACACCCATCAGGAAGCTGACAAGCTGGGTGTCACGGGTGAAGGAGAGGAAGTTGTGTGCCAAACACAGGAACAAGAGGACCAGAGATCAGAGAGGCAGAGGAGGATGCAACCGGTTGGGGAGGACACCTCGTCTCCGAACATCACACCCCAAAGACCCGTCAATCATCTGCTCGTTCCAGGCGGACCTGGAGAAGGAGAGGCAAGTGGACAACTTTAGAAACACATCATGCCTTTACTCAAGTATAAGTGACAATACCACGCTGTAAAAACACTTTATTACAAGTAAAAGTCTTAATTGAAAATTGTATTTAAGTAAAAGTATTCCTTGAAAAATGTTGTACAAATTCGTATTATAGTATAGTATTTCGTTCTGAGGAGTAGAAGTGTAAAGTGACATGAAATGGAAATAGAGTACTTGAGTAAATGTACTTACTGTACTGAAAACACATAGATTTACAGAACCTGTAAATTGAAGAACTTCATGGCAAATAAACCAACACATGCTTTATATTCACATTGTTTTTAAATATGACATTTTCATAACGTTACCGTCTGCAGCTGCTTGTATTTGCTTTCATTAGAGAAGGAAATCCAGTTAATTCTGAGTCACAAACCTGAGTCAATGCTGCGGCAGAGATGTTGCTTTCATTAAATTCTGTCTGCAATATGTCAGGTGTATTTCTGTTTTTGTCTGCTGTGTTTACAGAAAGCTGCGGGAAGCAAGGAACGCTCAGAAGAATGCAGAGAGAGCAGTGTTGAGAGATCACTTCAGAAGAAAATATCAGCTGTCTGAGGTCGGTGCTAATGTTTCTAATAGAATAAGAGAAAACATTAATAATTCATGTTTTTACTCTCGTTTGTTTCGTCAGCGGGATGGCTCATTAAGAGATACATGGTAATTTGAGCTATAGGGTATATGGCACAAGGAAGGAGTTTTTGGGTAAGAAATAAATTGCTGTGTGATGTTATATTTACAAAGCACTTATACTTGGTCCAACATGTACTGTATATATTAATATACCCATGTTCATTTCCACACACACTGATTTTACTCTATTTTTATTTTTTAAGCTTTACGAGACGGGCGCTAAAACAGAGCGTTTTTAGACAGAGGGGCAATACAAGTTTATTCAGACAGTATGAGAAAAATATTGTGTGTTTTAAAGATCAACGTGTATAATGTTGTAGTCCAAAATACAAGTATGAACTTGAAAATGAGCCTGACATGTCTTCTTTAATACTGATCCCGTTATTTGACCTACATAAGTGAACGTGACCATCAGCGAGAAGATTGGCTATTTCTATATGTTTATTGCTGATGATTGTCATCGGTGCTGGTCGGACTCCTGCAAACACACATAATCATGCAGGTTCACCAGAGAACCAGAATCAGGGCTGAGCGGGGCAGACTGTCAGACCTTGCTGCAGTAAAATAAGAGGCTTGGCAAAGGGACTCTGGTACTCGGAAACATTACCGCTTTTGTTCACAAGGGCCGCCGAAATCAACACAAAATTTAAGCTCCTCGTTATAGCTTTAACAAAATCGAGTCTTTGTGGAGGTATGTGTTTTTTGTGTTTTTTGTGTTGAAGCTCACATATGTCAAACCTTCATAAACAAATAGGCCTGCTCTTAACCGGTGCCTTTCTATTTGCTATCAATGCTGCCTGTTAATGTAGCATGGGCAAGAGCAATGTTGACAAATACAGAGATAATTCAGGACATTAAGTTATTTTCTTCTTCTGTTTTTTTATTCATGATTAGAGCCCGAAGGACACGAACCACCTGAAATCTGTTGGCGGAAAAGTGTCGCTCCCCCACAAGCTGTCGAAGATCATTCATCCTAAAACCAAAACTAAGGACGACGGCTTTAACCTGCTGAGCGCCTTTCAAGGCCTCAGCTTTGGCACAGTGGAGCTCAAAGCAAGGAAACACAGCAAGACGTCCGCTCCTGCACCAGCAACTTGTAAAGTCATGTGATCAACATGTTATCAAAGGGATGATCGGTACACCACCTTCTCAATGTGTTGGTTTAGTTCATGGGAACAACAGGAGACCCTCATACATGATTACTGCTCACACGCAATCTGTGCTTCAACATCTTTTACAAACTCCTGTTACACAAACATGTCATTCAGATGCTCCTTTTGTCTTTTATGTAGCGATAATACCAATATGCCAGATAGTTTTATAATCTGAGATGAGCTAAATATCAATTTGAGTGATCAAACCTGCAAATATAATAAATTCCCTACTACTAATCTAATGAATACATCTGTCAGGGAAAGTTAATTCACAAGTAGTGTTGTGTTACATTTAAAGTTATGATTTAAAAATGTTATTACCTAATAGAATGACTCAAGTTCTTATCTTAATGAGGTGTTATATTAGCGGGTCGATACGTTCATCATTTTCTGTAAAAGGGATGATCACAATTTCACCCCATTTAGAGCCGAATGTTGTAATTATAATAATTTGTTCATGACATTATGTATTATGCAATCTAGAAGCTACTGTAGCTAGTTTCTTTGTCACTTTTCTCTAAATGACGTAGATCCAAGTGATCTATTCACAAGTAAGGAACCTCAGGGAAACACGTTCACATTTCATCACACTGTCACACAAGCTGCGGCTCGCAGCTAACGGTGCAAATAACAGCAACAGTGCTGACAGAGCTGACAGTGTTTACCTGAGGGGGAACCGGAGGGTGGGCGCTAAGCCATCGGTTGGGGCGCCGTAATCAGCTGTAACCGCCATATGAGGGTAGTGCAGAGGGACAGAGGAAGAGCTTCCTGCTCTCTGCTCAGGTAGACAATACTTCACTATATCTAGATAGCAAATAGTTGTTTGATGCTATATTAATGCTCTGACTATCTTTGAGGGAACTTTTAAACAATTCGTTTTTGATTCGTTTATCCGCTGCCTAATCAAATATTTTTATACAACAGGAAGCAGAAACAAAGAACTCACCACAAGACCTTGAAGAGTTTTCCTACAAACTGATAAGCAGCCAGGATCCTTTTATTTTTACTTTACGAGCTTTGACAAACAAATTGTAATAAAGACATCTTTGACCAGCTGGACTCTCTCTTTTTTTGGCCTTTATGTGGTGTGTGTGTGTGTGTGTGTGTGTGTGTTCTGGATCAGCCTGACGTTTTGGCTCTGTTGTGATTCTCTTGAACTCTGATCTTCACATCTATAAATCATCATCCACTATCAGAGCGATGGAGCAGATTCAAGGATGTGAGGTTGAGGATGAAGGAGGGAAATAATCGGTCATGCAGAAACGCCAACGAGCGGTGTCACAACTCTGGAAGAGCCCGACAGGACACATCTCGTTTTAGACCATGAGGAGCTTGTACATCCGAGTGACTGTGTGTGTCAGAACACAGGGAACCTGCGGGTCCAGAAATCAGCTCTGTGGTGTCGCACCACAAAGAGCTTTTTGTATGACAGCAGCGGGGACGGTGGCACATGGCAAGTTGGAGGGGAGAAAAGGAGCTGAGAGTACAGGAGTTAGAAAGAGAGGTGTGGATGGTCGGGTGCGAAGCTTTGAGGAGATCCCTCACACAGGGAGGAGCGGCTGGATCAACTTGGTGAAGTTCTGGAGAGAAGATCGTTTCCGGCAGCTCCACAAGCACATGGAGAGGACCTTCAACACCCTCGGCCCCATCTACAGGTAGTAGGAAGATAGAGGGATGGTATCAGTGCTTTACGTGTGGCATTGACACTTGAATGAGGAGAGAAAGATTAGATCATCAATGTTTTCTAATGTGTCGGATGCAGTAGTGCATATGAGTTTACGCCTTTCTGTGTGTATTTGTGTGTGCAGGGAGCACGTGGGCACCCACAGCAGTGTGAACATCATGTTGCCGCTGGACATAGCTGAGCTGTTTCGCGCAGAGGGCCTGCACCCCCGACGAATGACCCTGCAGCCCTGGGCAACACACCGAGAGACACGGCAGCACAGCAAGGGAGTCTTCCTCAAGTCGGTACCACTCCTGTGTGCACGTGTTATGTATGTGTGTTACTCATTTTGTGGTGGTATAATAGAAATAACTTTATTTATTTAGCACCTTTGAAAACAGAGTTTACAAAGTGCTTTGACAGACAAAGCAAAGCAAAAGCAACATCATATAAAAGCCAGTCTGTAAATTATTTTTTAAGAAGCGATTACTGATTCTGCGAGCCTTATCTCCTCTGGCAGGTCGTTCCAACGCCGAGGGGTCCTTTTGGCAAAAGCACTGTCACCTTTAGTTTTGAGCCCCAACTTTAGAACAGCCAGAAGGGCCCGAGGATCTCAGGCTGCAAGCTGGCTCATACAGGCTCAACACTTCTTCTATATATTTTGGGATCAAACCCTGATGTGCTTTAAAAGTGATCATTAAACTCTTAAAATCAATTCTGAAATCAACATGGCGAGAAGCCAGGATTCGAGTGAGGTGATGTCTGTTGAAACCAGTGAGAATAGAATGTAAAACTGTTTGGCCGTCACACTGTGGGGACTCGTAAATTGTAGGTTAGTTAACATTATGGTTGGGTATATGGTCAGGGTCGGGAATGATCATGATCAAGGATAGGACAAGTCTCAAGGGAATGTTTTTTATGAATGTAAGTCAATGTAATGTCCCCTGAAATGAGAGAGAGAGAGAGAGAGAGTGTGAGAGAGTGTGAGAGAGTGTGAGAGAGTGTGTGTGTGTGTATGTAAGTGCATGTAATCACTTGTGTCATCATAATCCTGCTCATTTTTTTTGGGTCATCCAATCAGTAGTGGAAAGTATTCAGCTATTCTCTTGTTGGTGTAGCTTTTTAAAGCTCTTAGAATATTAATGTGATTGCAGCATCATTCACATTATTCTGATGGCATGAGTTTGTGTTTGTAGAAAAAATCTGACAATTTCTGTGAAAGAATAAGACCAAGAAGAGACACAAAATGATGACAAAATCATCACAAAGTGATGCAAAGCAACCACAGAAAGATGCAAAACAACTGCAGAACGACCATAAAGAAGCGCAAACACAAACTGATAATGAAACAGACTTTGACAAATCACCTCTACTTTACACTATATATATTTTTGAGATATATATATATATATATATATATATATATATACTGTATATATTCAAGTAACAGAACGGCTCATCTGCCTGGGAAAGTATTATAAATGTCTTTCCAACCCAGTTTCTTTGCTTCACAGTGACTGAGCAGAAGTGAAGCGGGTCACTTCAATGCCTCGCTCCAAATCTTCTCTCCACAGGAACGGCGAGGAGTGGCGAGCTGACCGTCTACTGCTCAACAAGGAGGTGATGATGAGTGCGGCCGTGAAGCGTTTTCTCCCCCTGCTTGATGAGGTTGCGATGGATTTCTGCCGAATGCTGCGGGCGAAGGTTGAGAAGGAGGGGAGAGGCGAGGAGGGGAAGCGCAGTCTGACCATGGATCCCAGCCCTGACCTCTTCCGCTTCGCGCTAGAAGGTCAGAGGTCATCAGCCCCAGTGATTTGTGACCTGGGATTTATTTGTGTGTGATTGCACAGTTGAAGTACACATGAATTTTCTATTTTCTTTGTCTATTTGATCTATAGAACTTTTTCACTAAAAGTTACCATTAGATGCCTCATTTGCATATTTAAAATGAGCATATCTTTAAAGGTTGTTTACTCATGAGGTTTTTAATCAGACTCTGAGCCAGAAATCTCCATGTGAATATACAAACACCAAACTTTTCAGTGTCATTCCTATCTATATTCTTTTCACAGAAGTGTTTTTTCGTATATAATTCAACCCCTGATTTGTAAATCATTTTATTCGTATAACCATGGTGAAAATTGTTGACTGTTGACAGTATCTTCTGATTTATGGAGGGCTCCAAAGAGCAATCCAAAATTCCCTCCGTATAAACTTTGACTCTAATGTGTCGACAAAATGACACAATAGTTCTGAACCTGCTTTATCCAATGTTCAGATTTCTGTTCTGGAAATGTGTGCAAATTAGTACATATTTAAAAACGCAACAGAAAACGTTGTAATACAAAAGTAAGTAATCACCTGGGTAAGTTTCATGGTGATATCTATTAAGATTTTTACCCTATTCACCCGGGGTTTCTCCTCTTGTCACCTCCCTCTTTGCCAGGCTTTCATTCACCGTAACTATCAGCTCTTTGAGTTGAGTCACAAATGCTGACGTAGGCCGTGAAAGCATCTCACGTCAGAGGAATTACACAATCTGCACGAACAAAATCTTTCCCTCTCGCTCGCTGCTTCTGCTCTTTCTGTTGTTAATTCAAAACAATTCTCACCTCTCATGAGAGCCAAACCTCATTTTGACCTGAGGCATATCTGTCGTTAACATATTATAGCCGTAGGTCAAGGAGAACATACACCTTTAAAAATAGAAACACCAACAAACACCATCAAAGCTCCAGCATTCTTTCACCAGGTCTGCTCCTTTCATCAGCCTAAATCTGAAATGTGCCACATTCACACGTGTGAATGGTTGTGTGACTCAGTGTGCCGTATGCATCTGTGCGTGCAGTATGTGTGTAATGTGTGTGTGTGTGTGTGTGTGTGTGTGTGTGAGAGAGAGAGAGAGAGAGAGTGAAAAAGGGAGAGTTGATGACTTTGAGTCATGCTAGCCTGCTCCTAATGGACCACAGCACACGAAGCCAGGTGCTAAGCCGGGATAGGAATAGACCTGCAAGCAACTCTATTCCAGTCAGTCATGTGAGGTTGATATAATACGAGCGTTTCTGACAGGTGATGGATGTCTGGTGGAGGAGAGGCAGTCCTCTGCGGCAACGTATGCACTCAGAAAACATAAAGGTTATCTGTGCGGAGTTGCATTTGAAAAACATAGAATATTTTCTTACCGTTACAGACTCTGGCTTTTTTTTGGCCTTCATTTTAGAATATCCTCAACCCACAGCGCCATGCAATCCTTCAAAGCCTAAATTTGAACATGGAAATATGAGCCAGGCGGTTTTATAATCTACTTAAATAAACTGTCAACCTGAAGTTAATTTATTCAATGAAGTCTTGGTAAGTTTAAAACATTTTCAAAAACAGTGTGTCCACTTGTTTTAGCCTTATTGTTTCTGATTGTTTGCTCACCTTGAAACACATCAGCTGTCTCTCACCCTCACCCACCTATACCCCCCCCCCCCCTATAGCTAGTTGCCATGTGATCTACGGGGAGCGTATTGGTCTCTTCTCCTCATCTCCGTCCCTGGAGTCCCAGAAGTTCATCTGGGCCGTGGAGCGAATGCTGGCAACGACCCCTCCTCTCCTCTACCTGCCCCCTCGCCTGATGCTCCTCGTCGGCGCTCCCCTGTGGACGCAGCACGCCAGCGCATGGGACCACATCTTCAGCCACGGTAGGCAGCCTTCGTTGGCCACCTTGGGCAACTCTCATCAGTCTCTTTCAGTATCCCGCTTCACTATTCCCATCTCACCTGACTCTGCTGTCACCCTGCCCTGATCTTCCAGCGGAGGCGAGGATCCAGAAGGGGTACCAGCGCATGTCTTCCTCGCAGGCTCGGGGGTCTGAGGCTGCAGCTGGGGGCCAGTACACCGGGGTTCTGGGCCAACTCATGGAGAAAGGGCAGCTATCTTTAGACCTCATCAAAGCCAACGTCACTGAGCTGATGGCTGGAGGGGTCGACACGGTGTGTGTTTGTGTGTGTTTCTTCCTTGGCGTGTTTTTGTATACCTCAGCATAACTGATTCCATGTCACCTCTCGTCCCATCCTCTCTACAGACTGCGGTGCCCCTGCAGTTTGCTCTGTTTGAGTTGGGCCGCAACCCGGAGGTGCAGGAGAGGGTGAGGCAGCAGGTGAGGACGTCATGGGCACAGGCTGGTGGTGATCCTCAGAGAGCCCTGCAGGGGGCACCACTGCTAAAAGGCACGATCAAGGAGATTCTCAGGTACATAATACCCAAGACACAGCCATCTGCTCTTGGCCTGATTAACTTATTAGTGGACCCTTTTTTTAATCTGTCGACCACATGCACACACTTTGCTCCATTTCTGCAAGTAGGCTACTCTGTTGCCTCCCAGTTCCTATCAAGTACATAGGGGCCAGCACACTCCGCCTTCATTTTACAGTATATGTCCAGAAACCCAACCAGTTATCACATACTGGAATATTGTGACTTTTTTCCCCCAGTAGCACTTTTAGGACGCTCTCATCTGTATTAGCTTAAATGTTAAGCATGCCATTTCATTCTTGACCTTGGAAATAGTAGTTTGACAAAACATTTCCAACTCAAGGTCCACTTACACGCTTTCCCGGGGCTTTCAATCATATCATTTGGTCTTCATCGGTGGATGGAGTGTGCTCATTTGTCCTAAAGATGGATCTGCTGACATGTAAGATCAGTTGCTGTCTCTCGTCCCGACAAGAAGTTTTAAAAGTGCTATGGATGGAATCAACATACTGAGCTCCCATCTTAACTGATGAGACTCCATCAGCTGATGAAGACTGTGTGAGGTGGTCAAAATCCTTAGAAAATGGGTGTAAGTGGAACTTGAGTCAGGAATGTTTTGTCAAACTACTATGACCAAGGTTGAGAGTGAACTTTCATACCTTAAAGGATAGAGTCAAAAGATCACACAATAATGCGGGAGTCAGCTGAAATTGTGCTTTAGTGGTGCACATTCCCAAACAAATATGTAATTAATCAGATAACTAACAACCAGCTGACACAAGCTAACTACATGAAACATCCCTTAAGAGGAGAAAAAAACCTCCTTTCTCCTTCAGATCCATAGAATATCATGAAAGAAAAATCATGCTCTGAGCTGAGGAACAGATGTCTAAAAGTCTGTTTTCATCACAAGTGTTTTCATCAACAATGAGAATTGATTACCAGTGATCCTGTGTTGGGAATGAGTCATAAATCAAAGATAGCATCTCGAAAACAGGACTCTGTGTGTGTGTGTGTGTGTGTGTGTGTGTGTGTGTGTGTGTATGTATGTTTTGGGTTGTGTCAGGTTATATCCGGTGGGAACCACAGTGCAGCGGTATCCGGTCAAAGATATTGTTCTTCAGAATTACCACGTTCCTGCTGGGGTGAGTGATCAGATTGTCACATACTCGTACAAACACATTCAGGCATACGTATACGGCTGACTTCAGTTTGTTTGACGCTCATCAACTCTCCCCTCAGACGATGGTCCAGGCCTGTCTGTACCCCCTGGGAAGGAGTGCAGAGGTCTTTAAGGATCCACTGCGCTTTGAGCCCGGCCGGTGGGGCAGAGAGGACGGCCAAAGAGGAGAGGGGGCGGGGGGGTTTCGCTCCCTGGCGTTTGGCTTTGGGGCGAGGCAGTGTGTCGGGAGGAGGATCGCTGAGAACGAGATGCAGCTCTTGCTCATGCATGTGAGTGAAGGAGGATGGAGTCAGAGAGAAAGGATGCAATGCAAGAGGAAAGAAAAGAGGTGGAAAGGCTGATGTTGAGTTTTAAGGAAGGACAGACAGACGGATGATTAGACGAGCTTAATCTGTGTTTGCTGGGCAGGAAGAAGTACTCAGATCCTTTACTTAAGTAAAATAACCAGTACCACAATGCTAAAATACTCTGTTACAAGGAAAAGTAAGTATTGATACTGATGCCTCAATGCGTAAGCAGCACTTCTCTGTTTTACCTAGGTAAGGTGGTGCATTTATATAATTAGGTAATTTAATTCAGTGGTTACAAACTTATTGAGCGTCTCCAAAGAGTCACAAGATGAATCTGGAGGGTCGTGAGAGGGTGAATGGGAGAGGAAAGAGAGTTCTGTTGCACAAATTAGTACTATTTTTTTCAGACATTTCTCTAATATACTGGACACCTCTGATACCTCTTTGGACCTCAAAACAGTTATTTGAATGAAACCCTTCAAAGTTTAGAGAAAGAGTGTCTTTTTGGTGGATCTGCTACCACTCCTGGACTCCATCCCTGCATGGTTTAATATTTGACATTGGGTTGAATTTATAGGCTTGTGTTTTTGAATTACATTTTTAATCTGTAACTAACTAAAGCTGTTAAATATCTGTAGTGGAGTAAAGTACTGTTGAGTATACTTACACCACTGCTGCTGCTGAATATAGCATAAATGTGATCCTTCTTAACATCTGCTCTTCTCCTTCCCTTCCACTCTGCCTTCACGCCTCCATCACCTCCTCCCCCTCTGCTTCCCTTTATCCTCCCTTCCTCTCTCTCCTCTCTCTCTCTCTGTCTAGATCCTGCTGAGCTTCCATCTCAGCTTGTTGTCCTCAGAGGACCTCAAAACCACATGCACCCTCATCCTCCAGCCTGAGACTCCGCCAAGGATCACTTTCAGCAAACTCTGACACACACACATGCACACACAGAAGACAGTCATGCCATCAACATTTGACATGTTTAATCAATACAATACAATGTAGCCTGTTTTAATAATCCTAATTTAACAACCATATTCTGATGATACTCACTCAAGCTTATACTGAGTTTTTTTGCATCCTGATGCGCTTCGTGTTCAACCGAAGAATTCATATTGCTGATGAATAAATTGATCACGTCCTCCTGTTGTCTTCATTGTGGCAAAGCTTGCAAAATCCACATTAGCACTACTGTCCACCAGATGGCGCTAACTCTCACACTAACCCATTCATGCACATTTGATGCGCTTGTCCCTTTCCACCACTCTAAGTCTTGACCCGCATCGTGCAGCAAACAGGTCGGTCGTTTCTTTTCTCAGGATCTAAACTGTACTTTACTTTATGCTGTGTCTGTGTCGCCTACTGTTCGCGGACTGTATGCAGTGTGACAACACTTCTTTCTGAACCCTGCTGTTTGTGTAACATGCTTTTTCTGTTAGATTATTTCGTTTTCAGCAGAAAATCTCTCCTGCTGTTTATTACTGTCGCTCCGCCAAATATTGATTGTTCACTTTACTTTTCCCCCTTTTGTCAATTGTTTTGCCGACGAACTACTTAAAAAGACTTAATTTTCTCCCAAAATAGCAACTTCATCCTCACCTGTAAGTCACAGGTGGAGATGAAGTGCTTGATGTTGGTGAACACTTTAATACTTGTGCTTCCTCTCCCTGTACTTTTTCATTTTATTGTTGTAAGCATGGAAATTAAAGTTGCTTGTCATATTATTGCACTTCTGTCTCTATGCGTAAAACCGAACCTTTACTCCAGATAATTATGTTGAATTTTTATGTTATGAGCTATTATATCATAGTTGTGTGCCACATGCAAAGGGCTGCCGGGTTTCTGCAGTCAACTCAGGAACAAAGGTCTGTTTGTCCTTTGGCTAACGATTTACACCTTCTGTCATTCTGGGTTTGTGCTTGACTGTGCATAGATACAACTCTACAGCGTAACCTCAAAGAAACTCTGAATAAACTTTCAGAGTGGAAGACACGTCACCTCTTCTGCCAAAGTCCAATACTCGTATAACATCAGCTCTTATCAGTCTATAGTTCAATAAGACAGCTTTGCTTTCCAAGAAAACAGCAACCTGCTGCAGTGGGTGAATGCAAATAAGTATACAGACTATTTCAAAGGTTCAAAATCTTCTGAGATCAATAACCTCAAACTAAATCTGCAACAAACTGCAATGATCCTAACCTAGAAATGCACCACTTTAGTAAATCACCTATTAAAAAGGGGTCGTATGCTGGTTTATAATGGCTTTTAGTAAATAATTAATAAATACTGTACTAATACTTTATAGAGCAGTTATAATTCATGAATGAAAACTTCTTTTGGGTTGCCAGGTTGTAGTTCAATATGTGGATTCCTCCACGGTTTGGCCTCGGCTGCAGGCCATCAAGGCCAAAGTTAATTTATTACTGATTTATTAACATTCATAATTATAGATTATTTGTGTCACGTGTCGAAGTGTCCCTCAGCAAGACACTGAACCCCCGGCTCCCCAGGCGCCTGTCATTGGCAGCCCACTGCTCCCTATATACAGGGATGGGTCAAATGCAGAGACAAATTTCCCCTTCCGGGATCAATATAATAAATTAAATTTAAAAAAATTAAATTAAATTTAAATATTTACTTACTTTTGGCCTATTAGAAAGTAAGAAACTCTTTTTTCATGATTGATTAATCAGTTTGATTTTTTTTATTTACATTTAACTGATAGACACGCATCAATTTAGTGCACCCTGATAGTTTAGTGCCATCACATAAAGGTTTTGTTTCTATTTTTAGCATCATCTTGGCCCAGTCAGGCTTTTAATTCATCTAAAATCATCCATCCACTGCAAGCGGTGGCCCCACTCCAAAAGGTGTGGGTGGGAGGAGAGATGAGGGGGCAGCAAAAGAGTGTGAAAATGAAGGAAAGAGACTGGACCAGACTTGTTCAGGTGTCACAAGACTTAGAGAATGATAAGGGCACTGACGAGCATAAAGACAGAGGAGGAAACATAGAAAAATTATAGAACCAAAAAACTAAAATAAACCAATAGAGGAGGAACTGATTTGGATATTTTAAGAAAATGGATGGTTTTATGAAAATGGGTAAGTGGACCAATGATTTCGCTTTGTACTGTGGGTGCAGAGATATAACAAGGTTTGGATATTATCATACAACTTCAGCATGATTAGAAATCCAAAATGACCTTTTAGGGAGGGATTGATCTTCCTGGATTAACTGTTAAAGTGAACTGCAAGGACAAAGGGGCGTTGTGTGCTGTTAGATAAGTTTATCTTAGTCTAGTGGCTGATCATTTCTCATTTTCAATATCCGTGGCTATGCATTATCAAATTATTTCATCATATACACCCAGTTGTAACTTGTACTTCAGATAATGCATCCCTCACTGATGCTTTTGAACTTTCGAGCAGAGTCCTACATCTGCCCTTTTAGCTTGATTTCACCGATTGATATCACACTGACCTGCTGCAAACCGGCCACGCCCATCACCTGGATCACCGCTCTCATCAGCCATAAAAGCTGTGCCTCGACCGATATTTTGCATCTGTCGTTGACCTGCTTTATTTATAGTCAGCCTTCCAGTAACAGGTGCCTGCATTTGTGTATGTGTGTGTGTTCCCATGTTCTGGGAGGTGTCAGAGGAGGATTTCTCAGTGGGATACGTAATGATGTGTGCAGCAGTGCGGCAGAACTGGGTCACAGGGAGGTGGAGAGAGCGAAAAAGACACGAAGAGAAAGAGACAGAAAACACTGACAGCTACCGAATCCACGGGATGGAGGAGCTGTGCAGGTTCACATTATCCTGCAAAAGTCCCCATTTTCATCAGGGAGTTTCCTCTGCAGACGTCCTTCTGTGTTTCTGCATGTCCATTCTCAATAGAAATCTTCCTAGTCAGATTGATCCTCACCCTCCAGTCTCTCCTCTCTCCTCTGTCTTCACGTCTTTGCTCCTGTTGAGCTGTTAGCAGCGACCTTGTCGGACTCAGGCTCTCCTCTTCTCGTCCTCGTCCTCCTGGCTGCATGGTCTCTACTCTCTCTTCCCCTGTGGTGGCAGAAATTGCAGGCTTGACTGATTGTGACATCCTTTAAAATGGATGCCATTGTACTGGCTCAAAGCCCTCAACCAGGTCCCACAATGCTTTGCATGAAAGACACATGCTCCATTGACTGGTTTGTGCTCTCAGGGTTTATGCAGCAGCAGTGACAGGTTGTGTTCCTGGGTGTTGAAAGGCTTTAAGAGTATTAAGTCCAAGATTTTAAGAGGGGAAAGGTCATAAAATAAATTAAAAATATATATATTTTGAGCTTAAATTTGCTTATTTATAGAGAATTGTGAGAAATTCTTGTTTTATGTGAGTGAATGTGGATGACTTATTATTTGACAAAGCAACTACATTATTAGATACCTGAACATTGTTATTTTAAAGCTGCTCTCATCAATATTTTCTCATCAAATGACTCTGTAATGTGAAAGGGGTCGCTCGTGATGAAGCCACAGTTAATTATCACCTGCAGCTCTTCACAGCTTTTATAGCATGTTTCAGCTCATTGTTTTGGTTTTACAGCCGGAAACTTTAATGTTTTGGTTCTCTCAAATTGAAGCATTTAGCAGCTAAAGAGTCATATTTCCAACTTGTTGAGCTGAAAACTAATTAATTCAGGATTAACAAGCATTACTTAAAACTTGGTATCATACAAGATAATCATTTTATTTTTCATACTCTCATTTAGTAATTTGTCATTTCCTCATGGAGAATGTTTTAGCACTGTGGTTTGGAGAAGAACACAGATCGCACACTGGCACTGGACAACAACAAAAATGCAGCCAAATTAACCTCCTTTCAGTTTGAAAAGCAAGACATGTCAGTTTGTCTTCATTCCTTCTCTCTGTCCTTCCTCAGACACATATTTAATCCCACGGTCCCCTTCATTGCCATTTTCCATCCATCCACTAGATGCCCTCTGACTGTCTCTGCTTTCCTCATCACCTCTCTGCCTCGCCAATCTACACACCTGTTCCCATCCTCATCAGCCCTTTTCCTCTCACTCTCTGCCAGTTTGTTAGAAATGTAGCTTTGCTTTCTTGCCTTGTGTCGTTGCCTTCAAGCTTCTGTTACTGGCTGTCATGGACCTCTGATCCTTGACAGAGGTCCATGACTTTTTGGATTTGATGCCTGCTCAGACTGCATTGATTTGACCTTTGCCTGCCCATGATTCTGTAAGCTCTTATACCTTTATTTGATCAACAAAGCCTTGAAATGAATCAGTAGTCTGCATTTGGGTTCATTCCCTGGTACCCCACTCATTCCAGCAGTGACATCTCCAGTGGAGGGGGAGGTAATCTCTTATCAAACTGCATGTCTTCCTCCTGTTGTCTGAATAGGCTACAGGCTTCTTTATATCAACGGATTGCTGGTGTAGAGACCCCTTTTCTGTATTTAAAATCTCAACCCACAGCCCTTTTAGTTCCTCTACATAGCATTAATATCAGCCTTCCTTTGTTTTGCTTGTGAAAGAAGTGCAGTGTTTTGTTTTCACTCAACCTGAGAGCTGAATGTCAGTCAGCATGTAAATCTTGATGACCTTCCTGCGCTGTAACTGACGTCGGGTCTCTATGGTGTGTTTTTTTGCACACAGACTTTCCTCTGCTGTGACTATCCATTCAAAATCTGTAGATATAAGCTGCCATTTTTATGCCGTTAAGTGTTGTTCTTCCTCATCGCTCACACAGAAATAAACACTTTACTCAGATTGAAGTGTTTAGTTCGTGTGTATTCGCTGGTTGGAGTTGGCAGTAGAGTTTTCATGACTGACTTCACCCTGCTGTCAACGTTTCTCTGTTGCTACAGCTCGCATCAGGCGCTACTCCGAGGCGATGACACTGCCCGACTCTTTCATCCAACGCCAGCAGCTGGATGCCAGCATGGCTGACACTTTCCTGGAGCATCTCTGTCTGCTGAACATTGACCAAGAGCCAATCACAGCACGCAACACCAGCATAATCTGCACCATCGGTGAGTGTGACAACCGGTTGCAGACAGTGAGTCTCAGTTTCAAGTTGGGTTTTCTGGCAACTGTTCTATGTCATCGCTGGCAGCTGCTGGGTGCTGGGTGGCCTTCTGTTGGCGGGGTTTGAATCTTGGCTGTGGAGCATGATCCGCTTTTCTTCTGCCCAGAAACATGGAGAAAATAACTAGAATGAAAGACATATGACAATTGCTTTTAAGTTCTTGCAGAGCTCTGATTCCAGATATAGCCTGTGATGGTTTCAATGTATCCAATTATTTTCTCGGACGATAAAATAAAGGCCCATCAGAATATTCCAGAACACATTTTGACATATTCAGTAGCTTATTTTGTCTTATCAACAGTCCAAGACCACCAAATGGTATTGAGTTCGGTGAAAACAAAACAATGAGCAAATTGTCACATTTGAGAAGCTAGAATCAGGCATTTTAATGTTTTAATGTAAAAAGTGTTTTTTCTTTCTTTCAGGTCCTGCATCCCGATCAATCCCCAAACTCCACGAGATGATCAAGGCAGGAATGAATATTGCTCGTCTGAATTTTTCTCATGGCTCACATGAGGTATGAACAGAATGCAATTATAGTACTTAAACGCACGTTTTGGTCTTTCCTTCAGCCATGTATTGATCTCCCTCCGTGTTTTCTGTCAGTACCACAGTGACACCATCAAAAACATCCGGGAGGCCGTGGAGACAATAACCCCCGACCCCTTGTATTATCGGCCGGTTGCCATCGCCTTGGATACGAAGGGTCCTGAGATCCGCACCGGATTAGTGAAAGGGGTAAACATGCTTCATCTATCAAACTGTTTGACTCAACCAGTCACGTTCAGTCAGCTGTAAGAGGGGCTGAAAATGTCTTTATCATTTCTTACAGGTTGTTACAACAAAACAACTGGTTGTGTGTCCTCATTTGCTTTTTCATCATCTTGTTTTGCTGGTCTTTGTGTTGTTGTTGTTTGCCGTCTGCTTTATTGAACAAATAACTTGAAACTCTTGGAAATCTCTTCATGTCTTGATTGGCTTACAAAATGCTCTGCATGATGCTGATTCTTGCCTGTTGTGTCTCTTCAGTAGTTTAATAGGAAGATAAAATAGAAATATTGTCGATTGGTACAGGAAGGATGACGCATACTTTAAACTGAAATCATAAAAATGTTTTTAACCAAAAAGCAAGACGAACATAGCTGTCAACAATTGATTGGTAGGAAGCACTTAACATATTTGTGCGACAATTCTAACCCTGTACAGTTGAGGTCTGTCAAGGTATCATCGTCATTGGCAGAATCTCATCAGAACCTCTGATGTGAATTACCAGAACTACTCAGCTGTCATAAAATACACAGGCTTGTTGAAGCTCGGCGTGCCATTAAATCACACAGCCATGTGTCTGCACAGTGTGTGAAGGTGGATAAAGCAGGTTTCAGCCCGGCTCAGGTTCAGATTGTGGTTTTGCAACAGCAAACAAGAGGAAAATTCTCTCCCAGGATGAGAGAGCCACATATTTGATCTTTGTTATTTTTCTTCTTTTGTGTGAGCACTGATAGTTAGTGGTACATGAATGTACTATATAGATGACCGCATCAGAACTTAGAAGGTTGCCGTGCTGTAATTCATTAAAAGACAGTAGAGGGTTCATTTTTTTAGAATGATGAGTGTCTGAGTTTGTTGGTTCTTGTGTTCATGGTAAACAACAGCTTGTAAGTCTGTCTGTGTGTAGACACGTTCCTGCAAACACAGAAGCTTAAAATAACACTTTGTTGAAAGGCCACTTGCACCACAGGTTTCACCTAAACACACATGACGCCTTCTATGTATTTGTGAAGAGGTGTGTTGACATATAAATAATATTTAATGCATTACTTAAAAAGTGACGTCAGTAGTTGCCTTTAAAATGTGTTGATAATAGAGATGACAGTGGTGTTTATTTAAAGGCGGTGTTTCTTTCTTTCCACTTTGCGTGTATGTGTGTCTTTGTTTAGAAAGTGGAGGGGGAAGTGGAGCTGGTAAAGGGCAGCCATGTCCGTGTGGTGACAGCAGAGAAGAACAAAGACGAGACAGACGGGAAGATTATCTGGGTGGACTACCCCAGTCTGCCCAAAGTCCTGACGAAGGGACGCAAGATCTACATTGATGACGGCCTCATTGGACTCAAAGTACTAAAAACTGGTAATACACATTAGATAGACTTACACAAACCTTCATACAAGCTTGAATTTGTAACCTTTTTATTTTCTTGTTTTATATATATATATTGTTATATTTTGCAGTATAAATAAATACAGAAGATCTCTAAGGAAATCAAAGAGAAAAATTTTATATGAAAAAATACGAAGACATACAATACATATTATATATTCATACGAATTAATTATTTTGTGCTTTGCTCTATTTTGTTAATTTGATTGATGTATAATAGACCACTTCTTTTGGTCACATAATGATCGTCCTTGTCTGTCATTCTGAATGAGATTTTGTCAAACAAGGCAACTTTTTTGGTAAATGGACTGTACTTGAATAGCGCTTTTCTAGTCTTTCAGACCACTCAAAGCGCTTTCATACTACTTGTCATCATTCACCCATTTATACACTGATGACGGGGGCTACCATGCCACCCGCCCATCAGGATCTACCTAACATTCACGCACCGTAGGCACAGCTACGGGAGCAATGGGGTTAAGTATCTTGCCCAAGGACACATCAACATGCAACTAGCGGAGTCGATCCTCTGATTGAAGGACGACCCTGCTCTCCACTGAGCCACAGTCGCTCGTTCATGAAAAGATGGTTCCTCTGGAGTCTTTCAGCCCCTTAACAATAATCTGCTTCCCCACATTGTGCTTGTCGGGATCATATCTGAGGTTCTGCAGTCCGCTATAATTAGTGGGTCACCTATATACAGTCATAACTTGAGAAATCCCAAATAAATTATATTTAAGGATCTTCCTCCAGTAAGTCTGAACTAAATTACATGCTTAAATCTGCATTATCTCCTGCACGATTATTCAAATTTAATAAATGTTTTCATCTGATCTCACTTCAGGGTTTTCACAACTCTGAGGATAATTTATTGACCACCTCTTCTTCAGGTCCTGACTGGGTGGATACGGAAGTGGAGTCGGGCGGGATGCTGTGCAGTCGTAAAGGCGTTAACCTCCCTGGCTGCGACCTTATCGGCATGCAGGCGGTCAGCCAGCGAGACGAGGCCGACCTGAGGTTTGGGGTGGCCCAGGGCGTAGACATTGTGTTCGCCAGCTTCATCCGCTCTGCTCAGGATGTCAAAGATGTGCGGCGAACTCTCGGGGCACACGGACAAGGCATCAAAGTGATCAGCAAGGTGGAGAGCCGGCAAGGGGTTCAGAAGTGAGTCCAGGAAAAACCTTTATGAATTATAACTACAAAGTCACAGTTGGGTTGAATAGCTGGAGGGAGTGAGAATTTCATAATGAGGCCGTGACAGGACTTCATCCACCGTCTTGTGGACCGACAGCTGTCAGGGATTGATGGACACGACGGCTCTGGATATTACACTGTGATAAGATGTCTGTGTGGCTGTCTGTGTGAGTTATGGCTGCCACTTAATATATCTGATACAATTTATGTCACAGCTCTCATCTCCATTACTCATCTCTGGCTTCCTCCCGCTGCTCGCTGGATGCTGACGGTGTTGAACCATGGCTCTAATTTGAATCGGATGTCTTTAAGATCGGATCATAAAGACTATTGTTACACGATTATGATGCTATGTATTGACATGTAAAGTCTCCTTCCTTTCGTGTTTGCATTGCTCACACATGAATTTGGTTTTCGTCTAGATGTAGGATGTAGATCACAATGAAACAATATCCTCTATGTTTTCAAGATCCAAAGGCTGTGAGCAAAATCCTGTTTTTGCAGATCAATGCACAGAAACAACCAGTATTGTCATCGTTTTCCTGCCTCTTCATCCCTGCTCACTCCTTCTTTTGTGCTCTTTTCTAACTCTCAATCCTGTGCTTCCTCATCCTCCCCTAATCTGTCTGTCAGCTTTGAGGAGATCCTGGCTGAAAGCGACGGCGTGATGGTGGCCAGGGGCGACCTGGGCATCGAGATCCCAGCGGAGAAAGTCTTCATCGCACAGAAGATGATGATTGGACGCTGCAACTCTACCGGCAAGCCGGTCATCTGTGCCACACAGGTCAGGGACGAGCACATACGCACACAGAAAAGGATGCAGAAATGAGAAAATATGCAGATTTAGACTTTCCACTACAGTGTTGTCCAATCAAATGTCAGAGGGGTAAACTAAGATTAAAAACTAACAGGCACATATTAACCTTGCACTCTTACATAATGGACTCTCACAAACACACACTCACTTGTCGAATTAATTCATCCTCAAAGATGTTTCCTCCCATTCACACCCCTCTCATGTTACACACACACCTGCAGCCATGTTGAGTCACAGTGCTTTATCTTGCTTATGCTACAGCTTCTGACTCGGAGTGACGGCATTATATATACATGAGCCCACAAACCACACTCACATACACTTATCAGCCGCAGCTTCTTAACTACTACAAAAATGCAGTCTCTCAGGCAACGCTGCATCTCATTTTCCAACTGTCTGCCTTGCTTATTGACTTATAATACCGAGTCTCCGGCACATCAATAATGATCTCGCAAAGTCTTACTCGCCTGCCTCAGTCTAAGTGATCTCTCATTTCTCCTCCATTACTGTCCAACCATCCACAAAGCCATTACTCTCTTCATTCTCTGCCTTACATTACGTTCCTATCTTGCACATACATGTGGCTTGTTTTAATGGCGTAATTGATCGAATCCACTTTAAAGAGCCTCGTGGAGACATTTTGGTTGCGGCAAAAAGACTAATGTGTTTGTGTTTGTAGATGCTTGAGAGCATGGTGGCCCGCCCACGGCCAACCAGAGCGGAGGGCAGTGACGTCGCCAACGCAGTGCTGGATGGAGCCGACTGTGTAATGTTATCTGGGGAGACCGCTAAGGGACTGTTTCCTGTGGAGGCAGTCGCAATGATGCACTCGGTGTGTGTGTGTGTGTGTGTGTGTGTCTGTCTGTGTGTGCATGATGTCCATTATGTTACATCTGACTTATAGTTTCCCATCTGATAACGCTCTCTCAGATCTGCAGGGAGGCAGAGGCGGCCATTTACCACCGGCAGTTGTTTGAGGAGTTGCGTCGCCTCACCCCTCTCTCCTCTGACCCCACAGAGGTCACAGCCATCGGAGCTGTTGAGTCTTCCTTCAAATGCTGTGCTGGGGCCATCATAGTCCTCACCACCAGCGGCAGGTGTGTATTTGACGTCTGCCTACCACACAAAAAACAAACTGTAAAATTGACCTTTGGACAGAAACTGTTTCCAGATTTTGTGCCAAGCTAAGTTGACCGGCTGCAGCTTTATATTTATCGCACGTCATATAAATCTAATAGAGATAAGATAAGATAGACTTTATTGTCCCGAAGGAAATTTGTCTTGGAAACATACATACAGTGTCTGCTGTTAAAAAACAGTACAAATAACATATTGCATACATACATTACATACACAGACTGTCGCCAGTCCACATACATTTCACACTGCCTTTCACATCTTCTCACATAATGCTCTGCAAGAAAGCAAATAAGTATATTTCTCAATGACAAATTATTCTCTGAAGGTAAGGGACAGATTGTGATTATTGTTAATAAAAAGGTGAATGTGAATTGGAGGACTGCAACAGGACACAAACTCCAGTGTCCTGCATGTAAGTCAGGTGCTCTACACACCCCTCCACAACCCGACCTCCACAGTACTCCCTGCTTTACCACTGAATGGTGGCATTGGACACAAAGCTCGAAGGGCTGAGTCATCCAATATGAATTTAGAACTTGGCTAACATTCATATTCTATACGCTCAAAAGCATGCACATGCTGTAGACTTTTAAACTCATTCGTGAAAGAGTTAAACCTGAGTAAACATCTCTGGTCGTCTTCCTCCCCATGACATTCAGGCCCTTTAAAGGCTGGAGCAACACATGTTTTGTTTTTTTATCAGAGAGCAAAGCTACAGATTGAACATCGCAGTACTGTTTCCTGCTTTAACATCCTCAGGGTGGAGTTTTATGTTTGCTGAAATGTTTATTGCGTTCCCCTTGTGTTTCTGTATTTTTGTGTGTTCTGACTACTTGCTGTTTAAACCAACTCCCCTAACTGCAAAATACAGAGTTCTCTATTGCGCACAGATAGATATACTGCATATGCATGGAGTCATTTACCCATACATACACAGGCAACACATACAGAAGGTGACAAATGAAAGGAAAACACAACTAATACAAGTTGTTCCAAACAAGCGCACTGCATGATGCTTCATCATCTCATGCTCTGTGACATGTATAGACTGGCTGAGCAAAGGCAGCTGACCTTGAGTTTGGATCAAGATTACAATATAACGTCTAAGAGTCTACAGCGATGCCATCAGCTCTGTGAGGCTGTATTTGAGCTGAATACTAATATAGACATGCAAAGACAATGACAAAGATAACATGCTGATGTTTAACAGGTATAACATGTGTTAGTATGCTCACATTTGCTAATTAGATGGGATTTCCATCAGTTTTACAGGTATTTGGTCATTAACCAAATAAAAAGGCAGAATTAAAATTTTGACCTGATGATTATGCAAGATAAAAACGGGCGTCAAAGTCCCGGTCTGAAAAGTAAAGCCAATGCATATATTCCTTAAACCTGCATTCTTTCTAATAGCCATCAGGGGGCGACTCCTCTGGTTGCAAGAAGATGTCGGATGGTATATAAAGTCAATGATAAAACGACCGTACATCTCACTTCTTTTACTACCTCAGTAAACATTGTTAACATGGGTTTACATGTTTACGTCTTCTTCTTTGGTCGACTAAAATTGTTTTGTTCAGTTGTACTTAGCTCCACCCTCTTGTATTACTAAAAACATGGCGAAAGTCAAAAACAAGATGGCGACGGCTAAAATGCCAAACTCACATCTTCAAAACAGTAGTCCACAAACCAATGGGTGACGTCGCGGTGACTATGCCCAATTCTTATATACAGTCTATGGATTAAAAAAACTGCTCAACTGAATAGTGTCTTAATAGACCCAGTGTCTTAATTAACATCTGAATTTAGATGTCTGGGAAAGAGGATACCACCACATCCATCGTTCATCCCTTCAGCAGAGTTCAGAGACTTGACAGATCTATGCCAAGGAGCATTCTGGCAGCTGGACACTCAACTAAGACACTTTATGTTTAATTTTCCTTTAATTGGTCACCTATGTGTACATGGAAGTGCTTTGCATACATTGACAATATCCTTATTTTCTCCTCGTCTCTCCAGGGCGGCACATCTCCTGTCCAGGTATCGCCCTCGCTGTCCTATTATTTCCATCACCAGAAACCCTCAGGTACAGTCTGCCACTAGGAAGCAGCAGTGCATTTGTCTTTCATGACTTTACTGTTGATGACTCACTCCTGTCGAAACTGAAGAGTGTGATACAGTCAATATTTACTCTCACTGTCTACTGCTGTCACTATTTACAATGTGTGATATTTTACTGGAGTGTGTTTCCGTTTAAATGGGACTGTTGTTTTAAAACCAAATGTGTCACAAACTGCTTTAAGTGATTATGATTACCTATGATTTTAGTCATGTGGAGTTAATCCTTATAATCCTTTTTTATAAATGCCAGTGAATTGGCTTTGCAGAGGTGTTGGATCAATGTGTCCCAAACTGTGGGTGAGGACTCCTAAGAGAGGTCACAAGAAAACCTTTCAAAACCAGATGCATTTGTTAAACAAAATAATATTAATGTTTTTGCTTTCTTTCCCATTTTTGCTGTTTTAAAAAATAGAAAATACTGGATACTTGCACATCTTTATGTCTCTAAAAGCCTGTTAAATGAAACGACCTGAAAAGGAAAATGCCTCTTTGGTTGAACTAATCATAACTCATGTCCACACAACCTGTGATTAGGGTTCACAAGTAGAGATTACATTTATTTTGTCACAAACTGAAACATTTGGGAACCACCGATGGGTCAGGGGGTCATTGGGGCTGTCAAAGTCTTAAATGGGCAGATGAACCGATATTTATTGCCTTTAGTTTGAAAAATATACCAATTTATTAATACCAAACATTTTGTAGTTATTTGACAGATAATTATTCACTGTAACAAAACCTTGACATTGTCCTCTTCCTCAGGTGGCCCGTCAGGCTCAGCTACTAAGAGGAGTGTTTCCTGTCCTCTTCCACCCTCTGTCTGCTCCCGTCTGGGCCGATGATGTTGACAATAGGGTCAATTTTGGCATGGACATTGGTCAGTGTGTGTGTGTGTGTGTTTGTATGATTGTATTACTCTGAGTCTGCTCATTTATATGGTACTGTCCTACTCACACACCCTCTGTTTCTTTCCTTCTGCCTCCTCAGGGAAAGCAAGAGGATTCTTCAAGTCGGGCGACATGGTGATTGTGGTGACAGGCTGGATCCCAGGGTCCGGTCACACTAACATTATGAGGGCATGCAGTGTCCCATAACAACCTGGCCTTACTTGACTCTCAATCTGACTGACATGCTGATGTATAAATGTGATGAGAACCAACACTTTAAAATTAAATAATAACCACTGTCACTTATCGATTAACAAAAGCATTTTGTCAGCATCATCATTGTTATTTAAACTCTGATGTGTGCTTTGTGTTTTAATGTGTCTTGAAAGCGATGACTCCCTCCAAATAAAACTTGAACTATAAAGTTTAACACACTGTTCTTTTATTTGATGTAGAGACTTTAGCTTCACTAATTGAGCTGTCTTTTTTTCGTCTTATTTGTGGGAGTAATATTGAATTGAAAATGAACATTGTCTCTTTACATGGGACCATTGTTAAAGCATCTTATTATTGGTGGCCATTGAAGATGAGGCTTTTATTCCTGACCGTATAGTCCTCGGCTTATCTCTGTGACGGCACAATTCTTTTGGCTATTATGAGTGGTGCCGGGAGATGCAGAGATGACGGGTATTGAACTACTTTCTTTTGTCCACTGAGATGACCCAGATGCCAACATCTGCCTACTGTTCTCTCTTAAACTAATTATATCTGTTCCTGCATGGGGCTTTCTCATGTCCGATCCTTTATGTAACATCCTAGCCTTTCTTCTGCAGGCTTCTTCCTCCTTTAGTATTTATTTTCCAGCTTTATTGTGCTTTTTATCCCCCTTTAGATTACCCATTCCCTTTCCGTCTATAACATTAATTCACATAATGAGCAAATGTCTGGGGGGTATGACAATTTATCTTTCAAAACGTTCAACTCAATTCACTGTTGAGGTTATTTTCAACTGAGATTAATTGTTTGATGAAAATGCATCATATTTTATAAGTTAATAACCTGTTAAATATTAGTCTGCAAAGTAACAAGTTAATATATCTGTCAAATATGTGAAGTAATGGGTACAATATTTGTCTCTGAAGATAAGTACAAATTATACTGAGGTAGTATTACCTTTTAGCAGGGGCATCGTTAGGCCTATTTTAGGGGGGCTGAAGCCCGCCTCAAATGTTCTTCAGCCCCCCCAAAAAATTTGGTATTATTGGCTTTAAAAAAAAAAAAAATATGTATTTTTTATTTTGGTGATGTCATTAAATTAAACTATTGTTTCTCACATGGACAAGTTATTTATAACTCTAACATGCTACATATGTGCGTGCGTTCTGGTTTGTATGTTTTCTCCCCCTTCAAATTACAATCCAATAGCCTAACATCATACTTAACGATAAGTATGGACCCGACAGTTGACACTGTCGGGTCCATTCTCCATCCATTGTGTGCGGTCCCTTTAAGAAATAGGATTTGGGAGTGACGGGGATATTCTTTATTTGAGAAAAGTTCATATTTGTGTTGTTAAATTTCACTATGACCCTCAAGTTCTGTCTCTTGTGTTATCATATACTGAATGCAAGCAAAACTACAGAGCAAAATCACACTCTTTCTGATTGAACCAATCTATGAACTGTCTGAAACAATGGATATCCGCGGCCCCAAATGGGCCCCAAAAAAAATTGCCAAAAACATGCCACTCCCCTTGGGGCTAAGCCCCCCCTTTCTTTCAATCCTAGAAACGCCCCTGCCTTTTAGCTATACTTTCCATGACTGGATTTTGAAGTCTGCAGCTTCCTCTGTCATTTACATCTCTCCACAGGTGACACGTTGGAGACCTAATTGTGTAATTGGTAATCATTTCCAGTCCGTTTAATTGAACTGCTATCTCTGATGCAAAGGAAGATCATTGATTACATCAGAAGCAGCCTTTAAAAGCGTTTGTTTGAACTGCAGTTTTTCATTCATTAATCATATTGTATTGTATTCTTCTCTCGTGTCTTTTCATTCATTAATTTTCCTGTAATTTGTCACCGTTGTAAAAAAAAAAAAAAAAAAGCTTGTTCTTTTTCCGAGGTTTAAATAAAGTTTCATCATCATACTCTCCATCACGCGCTCGCCGTATTGGTGAGAGAGGGAGAGGATGACGCGCGTCATGTACCTGCGAGGGATGCGTGCGTCTTGCGCCGGCCGGGCATGCGGCCTTGGGGGACGGATGATGCGGATGCGGATGCCATGGCAACAGGCCGATTAGATCCAGACCTTTATATGCACATTTATTTATTTAATATGACATTTGCATGCGATGCGCGCCTCTGTGGACGTGCCAGCTCGACCTCTTGAGCTGAGTCAGAGAGTGAGAAGTGAATTTCAGCTTTAAAAGTCCATCGACTCTAAATCAGTCTGCGAAGGAGCAGCCACCTTAAACAACCAACAAGTTGTTTTATTTTTTATTAATTCAACTGAGCACATCGTTTTACCTTGGAGCAGCAGACTCTATTGAAATATTGTATCTGTCCTCGGTGTCATACGGCGGAAAGGGCAGCGCCGTGTCCCTGGGCACAATGTCATTGAAAGTCGGCAGAAGTGGGAATAGATGGCATCGGCTGACAGAATAGAAGACTCTGAACACCTGACCAGGTTCATTCTGGCATCACTTTTACAAAATAGCGCTGTTGTAGAGCCCGGCTGTTTCTCTGGCTGTCTGAGCGCTTCTGTCACAGGCAACATTTCGGCGCGCCTTCCATCACGAGGAGTGTTTTTCCGCTCGGATACTGAAAATGAAAACGTGCCGCGGAGTCAGTGAGATCATGGGCTCGATTTGGGGTCATTTGACTTGTTTCCGCCGTCTTGTCTGTCGGTCTGTTCTTCTGTGTGCGTGTCAGAATGAATCAGTGCGCCTTGGAGCACGAGCGCCTATGCCTGTAATGTGCGTCCCTTATGTTCATTAACAATCCATCCCTCCTGACAGAGGATCAAGTGTCCTTATCATTCATCCGTGGATGAATGTTCCCCACTCTTCCACCTTACCGCTCATCTCTTACATAATGATATAGGTAGAAAATTGTCTGAGCAAACTGGGCATATATGCTATACAGACCGGGCACCGACGGCCAATGAGCGGCGAGCTCCGTTACCTACAAAAGACCGGGAATCCGGTGCCAAAATGACCGGCGTCGGAGCGTTGAGGGCGGCTGTGGAGAGGAGAGGGAGGGCCTCGAGGGGAGGGAAACGTTTCAAGGACGAGGAAGGAGGAACGATACAGAAACATCTGTAAGGACAAAAGAGGCACTTTAAGAAAAGAGGGGAAAGTGAAGCTGCTGGCGTCACTCTGACAGGGTGAAGGATTTAATGTCTGGATGGGGCTTCTTCCAAGGACACCGAGGTAAGCATGGCCACATCAGCGGAGTGAGGGCGCAGGTGTGAGCTGCCTGCTCCAGGACAATGACTGGAGATACGAGACCACTTTTCTTTAGCTTCTTCAATTTAATTTATTCAGATTGACATTGACATTTTATAGCCTATGTAATCTACGTAGGTCGACTACATAAATCAGTAGTCTTACTGAGGGTCACCAGTTCACCCTCTTCCCTGACTTGGGATGGATGGGATGGCGGGAGTTGTGGGTACCCCCAGTGGCACCGGGGGATCTGGGTGTGACAGCCTCCCCAGACGTAATGGAGGGGACTCAAAGCGGCGCAGTAAGGGCAGCCTGCCTTCTCCGGGTTACAGGCTGTCCCAGGCCTCGCTGGAAGGGGAGAGGGGCTCCTTCGGGGCGGACAGCACCTCCTTAGGTGGACGCGGCCGCCGCCCTTCCATCATGAGCTCCACCAGGGATGGCCTTCCCTTCCGAACAGCGGGCACCCCAACCACCCCGGTGCCCCTGCCACCGCCGCCGCCCTCCTCCTCTGCCACAGCCCATCCTCCCCCACGCTCAGTGGGCTTTGCCACGACCCGCGCCACCCTGACCTCCACCTCCTCCACCGGGACCGGAGTGATGGTGGTGGCCACCGGCCCAGAGACCACCACCACCACTACATGTAACACCACTGCTGCAGGGTCCCCTGAGTTAATGGGTCAATGTGGACTGGGTGGTTTTGGCATGGGGCTGGACGGAGAGGACTACAGCAACTCCAACCAGAGCACCTTCATCCAGAGACAGTTTGGAGCCATGCTTCAGCCGGGGGTCAACAAGTTCAGCCTGCGCATGTTTGGATCCCACAAAGCCGTGGCACTGGAGCAGCAAAGACAGAAATCAGCAGGGACGTGGATCATACATCCATACAGTGACTTCAGGTATGAACACACACACACACACACACACACACACACACACACACACACCCTCCACAGCAAGCTGCAGTTGGTTTGTAAAATAAATGCCACTTGTAGCACATGAAAGACACCTAAAGTTATTTTGTTTGCATAATGACATAATGACAGACAGAGAAACATATCATACATTTGGCACCCTCCTCAGTTAACTGGGAGAAATGGGGAAGAGTACATCTGGGAGGAGAGATACACTTGCAGGAGGCTATAGGGTGAGGTAGGAGAAGCAAAAGCTGCAATGGGAGAATAACTGAAGGGTGGTATCAGGCAAAGCCTGTATGACAGGTTAAAACGGAGAATGAAAAGAGGGGAGTGTATTTAAAGTCCTTGGGGGAATGATGAAGGCAAGGAGAGGTGTTTATGGAAAGGGTAGTGACAAGGCCTCCAGTGTGGACACCATGCAGCTATGGCAGGTCTCTAGTCAACTAGGAGAATAGATACAGAGACTGATTGTTTCCAGAAAAAATTGTTTCAGGATAAATGTCAGAAAATGCAAATGAGCACGACAAATTTATTCAAGATGTTTGGTTGATCAGCGAGAGATGCCTTCCACGTTAATAAAGTGAAATGTCAAGTATGCTTTCATTTAAACAGTGGATGAACCCAGCACAGCACCCCCTGCTGGTGGCTCCGTGCAGGAACAATTAACACGAGAATGAGATGAAAATGACAATTGAGGCTGTTCATTTTTGGTTTTCTTGAGTGAAAGTCTCCTAATGAAGATAAAGACCTGGTGGTTAATTGCTGTACTCAATGTTTCTCTGGACCTCATTTTTTAATGGGTATAAGTATGGGAGGGGGATTTTTTGAATGTCTGCCAGCCTTAAACACACAAGGCCAAATTGCTTTCACCCTCACATACTTTTACAATGTCATACTATTTACTGACTGACATGCTAAAACCCATTGACATGCGGGTCATTGGCTGTTAGAGACTTTGCATTAATGCAAAATGTGCAGGTGGAGCGCAGAGGGAGAGACGGCATTCATAATCTCCAGACAGGCAGCAGCAACAATGGATGACTTGATCCCCAAGGCTCCTGGCCCACTTTTGTCTCATCAACCACGCACACGCACACACACACACATACACACAAAGAATGAGTCGTTTTGTATTGTCTGTCAATTTAATGATCACTCACAAGTTCTGCCTATGAGTCTGTTCACAGGAGTTACGATGAATGAGGTCAGTGAGGAACAGAGAAAAGGATGAATGGATGGATGGATGAAGGGCTGTGGATATTGATATTCATGCTAGATATCTAAAAATGTTAATAGTCCTAATTAACCTGTCGAGCACTCACAATTGAATTTAGACTAATTATGTATGACTTCCTAAATTATGCAAGTTGAATATATGCATTATGCATAATTCAGTCATCTAACTTTTCAGTTAAGTACCTGTAGTCTGAAGAGACGTCTGAAGAGGAACTTTGTGTGGCCGGAGCATGCGAGAGGGAAAGACGGATTACTGCTAAAGCCCCTTTATTGTGTTTTTGTCCCTGTATTGACCTTGACCACAAGAGGCTGTGCAGTAATATGTATGCTTTTCTGTGCGTGTGTGTGTGTGTGTGTGTGGTCTGTCACTATTGAGTCTGCTGATAAGCTCTCACCTCATTAACAAAAGATGTATTTCTGCTGCACCTATAAAAATACAAAATGAGAGTCGGACGAAGACTATTCATACACTGGAACAGCAAGAGAGAGGTGAAAGCAGAAAGACGGTTTGTCTGTCACCACAGTCGTGTCGTGTTGAGACAGGGTTGGTGGCATTACATAGTAACAGGGATCTATTACGCAATAGCCGGTTGCTGGTGTGCTTGTTTGTCTGTACGTCTGGCAGGATGATGGGTGGGAACTTGTTCAGAACTGACATCTGGCCAACCGTGAGCAGGAAACCAATCAGAGGTCGCTCATGGGACACTTGGCCTCAATTACAGTAGAATTAGTGTTTCGTTTGCGAACAGCTGAGCAGGTAGACGCAGGTCAGTTCTCTTCTAGCACCTGTTCATGTTCAAGATGGAATACTGATGAGGCAGTGGAGAGCCTTTGATTGCATTTGCAATTCCTATCTGTGTGTTCACGAGTACACACAAGTGCACGTACAACCACACACAATGCCTGAGCCAGTGTTGCCTCAGTCCTCTGTCTTGTCAGGTATTTAGGCAGCATGACAAACCTTCACATCCTTCTCAGTTTGGATCTGACATCTTCTCTTGTCCGTTTGGTTGTTCTCATTTGTTTGGTCTCACATCTCAATGACAACAGCGAAATCTAGTACACACAGGCTGATTCATGTGCAGTCACATGTACAATGTAATGTAACCCATTGAGGTTAGATTAAAGCAAACAACTATTTAAAGACATAGTGGTTTAATGTCTACCTGAGCAGAGAATGATGTCGCTCTCCCTCTGCATGTGTGGTTATCCAAACTTCGGCGACATAGCCGGGCCGGCCGCAAATGCTTTTAGTGCATGTTAGTGCATGTGAGCGTGTCCCACTGGTTAGCTCACAGCCGCAGCCACAGCTGATACTGCCGTCCAGACCGACAGCACCGTCGCGGAAGCGTAGTACCTGACATGTTGAGAACCGTTGAGAGCCAATCGAAATGCTCCCAATCTCAGATCTTGCAACTTGAACCCTCATTTAAATAATAGTTGATAATTTCTATGAAAAAAAATGTAAAACATATTGCATTACAGGTTAAATGGCTTAATTTCAGTCTATGCTATCTTGTGAAATAATGGATAACTTTGGGCCTCAAACAGGTAAACCAGGGGCCCCAACCACACTGCATTTTTGTAAACCAATAAGGTTGTTTTTGTATGTTTTTATATGTTTGTTTTTGTGTAAAATCTTGAAAAGTTAATAGAGCAGTCTTATAGTGGAGTAAAAAAGTACTATATGTTATTGTGAAATGTGGCGGAGTTGAATTATCAAGTTAAATAAAATTCAAATACAAGTAAGTATACTAGTAAGTCAAGTAAAGTACATCTGCCATTATAGCGCTGCCACAAACGATTTATTTTATTAATCATTAATCTAAAATATCTAAAGTCCAAATTGCTTGTTTTGTCCAGGCAACCATCCAAGTTCTCAAATAATTTACTGCTTAATAGATTGGAATCATTTCAGCTTTATAGTACAATAAACAATAAACAAAAACAAAATCTGTGTTGCTGTAAATAATTCCTGCATTTATTGTGAGTGATTATGAAGTGATACATCTATCAGTGTAAGTGACAAAGTCAGGGAGAAGTAGCCGAGTGATGACTCATACTTAATCTTCATCAGTCTAGCGGCAGCGTCACACCACATGAGGTAGTGTTACTAAATTAGAGCTCAATAGCAATCGACCACAGAGCTTGAGTGTATTTTCTCACAGAAGGAGAGCGAGTGTGTAGAAAGCAAGTCATTGATGGGTTAAGGTGACGGATGAAGGGATTAGGAGGAAAAAGACAGAAAGATGACAGGCATCATCTCCAGATGATTGCATTGCTTTTTCTGTCGTACTTAAATCACTAACAGCATTTTTATGAGAGGGCGATAATACCCTCCAGCATGAAATACAGATTTATAAAGCCTCCCAAGGTTACGGATCATTTGCCTCTCTTTGTCCCCCTCTGTCTGTCTTATAAGAAAGTCTTATAAAAGGACCTTGATATGTCATCAGGGTTATCTCCACTTGGGCCTGTGTACAAACTGAGATCTGGAGTTTGGAAGATAAGTCACAATCCAGATGCATTATGGGATTTGAGCCAGTGTCTTTGCAGCTGGAGCCTTACTATTCTCTAAAAGATATCTCAGTTTATGCAGCCTCAAATTTGACCTTTCTTTATTGAATCTTTCTCTCATAACGTTATGTAAATACGATGCTGAATCTCAAGAGTACCCCTTTGAATCTCTCTTTTATGTTCATCACAAGGGAGGAAAATGCATGGTCTCCTTTTGCGGGTAGTAAAAAAAGAAATGTTCTTTTCTAATTCATACAGGAAATTATATCTTAAAATGGGGAAAAAAAGATAGTATTAATTATAATCTGTTTATGAGAACTAGACCTGCCTCTTAATTTAATTTAAAATTGTCAAGCAATAGCAAAAGATTGTCCATAACAATTTCCCAAAGTCCTTGTTTTATCCAACTACCAGGCCAGAACCCAAATATGTTCAATTTATTGAGATAAATCAACAGATAACACAAAAGCATCTTTGTTTAAACATGACTTGCCGATGTTTTCACATCAAATCCAGCAAAAACTGTTAAATACAAAACTATTCCTGCCTTTATGATCAGAGGAACGTCATAAAATAGTGTGTTAGTGCCAAACAGCTTGTCAAATCTACCATCAAAGTAAAGGACCAATCGTATGAAAGTCACACATTTTCATTGTCTGCTGTGTTAAATGCACCATCTCAAAGAATATGTTTCATCAGGCTAATTAGAGAAAATGCCGTCCCAACTGGTGCATCTTTGTGTGTACTGCAGACATCCATGTAAATCTAACCTAAAGTGTACTTTCCTTGTCATATTTTAGGAATTGTTAGAAATAATTTATTAATACTTTCAAACAGTATCCAATAGTAACAAGGAATAAACCTGCATTTATTTGATTGATTGGACTGATTGATGGCTCCCTGGGCCTCACACTTGTTGCTCATATACTTCAGCAGAATGAATGTTTTCCGTCTCACACTGTTAGAAATGAAATCTTACATTTACTTAATTTAGTTATGTCAGCCAGAAAAAAAGACTAGAATATTGATTATTACTACCTGCTATTACGCATTTGACTTGCTCTATCGATATGAAGAATTGAGTCAGATAAATACAACGTACGTCATTTAACTTCACCAGAACAGACGGTTTCCTGTCAGAGACGGTGAGGAATGTGCCAATCCCACAATCATGACATGTTTATGCTAACAATCCCATCAAGGTGTCAAGAAGTAAACAAATGCTCACAACTGAAGCAGGAAACAGCAAATGTTTGCCTTTGTTGGTTGAGCGATGACCAGCAGATAACGGAAATAAATATGAGGCAGACCTCAGGAGAATCTGTTGGCTCGGCTCCATCGTTTTGGATAATGTAGATTTCCAGGATAATTTCCTCCATTTTGCACCAGGATATGTGTGACGTTGGACTTTTGAATTCCACAGCCAAATACATGTAAACACAGATACAAAAATATTTTCTAAGATCTAATGCATTTTAATTTTTCCATCTTTCTGGAGTTGTTTCACCACCACCCACAATGAATTGAAACATTTCCAGCTGTGAACAGCCCCTCCATTTCTTTTGTGTATTGCATTGTGGGAGACTTGTAATTTTGTCACCTTTTCAGTGAGAACACAAGAAACGTGATCAAATAAAATAAAAAGCCAGTAAAAAAAGACATATATTAGACCTACAGTCCAACCTTATAGACACAGAAAAAGAAAACAAAAAAATCAATGCTTTCTTTCTCTGTCTAGATTCTACTGGGACCTGTTGATGCTAATGTTGATGATGGGGAACTTAATCATCCTGCCAGTGGGCATCACTTTCTTTAGAGATGAGAACACTCCCTCCTGGATCATCTTCAACGTGGTCTCTGACACTCTCTTCATGGTCGACTTGGTTCTTAACTTCAGGACCGGCATCATCAAGGAAGACAACACAGAGATACTGCTGGACCCGAGGTCAGTAGAAGCATATCTGGTTGCATTCATTATGTGTATCTGCAAGGTTGAGAATATTAATACAGCTGCTCTGTCGCTATTCATTTAAATTAGCTCTTCTGGCTGTCTGCTGGGTTTGTGTGAAATGGGGAAAAAAAAGGTGACATGCAGCTGGTGGCAGAGCTTTGTTCACGTTCCAGTCGTGTTCCTGTTGAATATTGATGAGAAATGCTTCATGCCAGCCAAATGTTGGAATCACTTCCACAATGCTTGATTGCCAAATTACAAATGTCACTGCTCTGCCATGCTACTCCAACTCAGAGCGATCCGACAGAAGTACCTGAAAAACTGGTTCCTGGTGGACTTTGTGTCATCAATCCCGGTGGACTACATCTTCCTGATGGTGGACAGTTTCGACACCGAGGTCTACCGGACAGCCCGGGCGCTGCGCATCGTCCGCTTCACCAAAATCTTGAGCCTCCTTCGACTGCTCCGCCTGTCCAGACTCATCCGCTACATCCACCAGTGGGAGGAGGTGAGAAACAGAGGCTGGAAACAGAGAGCAAAGTCGAAGGGGAAAGAGATAGTTGTATTGAAGAGGTAGTTCAAAACTCATTTAATGTGTAAGGTATGACAAGCCTTTCGAAATATTATGTCACGAATAGAATCAAACACATTTTTTAAATATTGTGCTGGAGGAAAAGCCTCATTGAAATACATTTTGAACAATTTTGGAATTAAATCCTTGTGAAAAGATAAACCTCACCTGTCCTTTCCACCCTTTTATTCATCCCACTTGCGTTCTTATTTTCCTCCTCATCTTTCCCTCTGCTCCTCCTCAGATCTTCCATATGACCTATGACCTTGCCAGTGCCATGGTGAGGATAGTTAATCTGATCGGTATGATGCTGCTGCTGTGCCACTGGGACGGCTGTCTCCAGTTCCTGGTCCCAATGCTGCAGGACTTCCCTCCTGACTGCTGGGTTTCCAAGAACCTGATGGTGGTGAGTCTCTAACCAGCTGTCTGTGTGTGCGTGACATTATTTTTTTATATGTTTCAGTGATTTTATTGTGCAGAGAACAAAAAAAGAACCTGACATTCAGTTCTGGTTGAATGAAAAGTACAAAGCGCTATCTCAACTTGTTTGAACAATGTGCACAATTTTTATTTCATATGAATGCAAATCACAGATTCAAAAAGCAGCTTGGTTTTTGGTTATCTGTGTGTGAGCGCAGAGTGAGGTTGTTTATCAGATTTGACATTGTTTGCTCCTTATCTGTGTTAATTGGCTCATGCAGCAATATGTCCAGTTGGAATAAGATTGACTATCATCATCATCACGAAAATATAAAAGATTTTCCAATTAAAAACCTCAGCAAAGATCAGGTGAAGGTGTGAACGCACGCAAGTCGAAGGCCTCGGGGACCTGCTGGAGATTTTGTCTCCGTGCATGCAGGCGTACGGACATGGCCGACCATGAATGCACACAGATACACACAGATACACACAGATACACACAGCTGTATGGATAGCTGACTCATGTCTCAGCAGTTGCCAGGGTGACTGTTGCCGAGCAGGCTGATGCTGGGATTTTCTCCAGAGAAAGTCCCCTCATCCTTTAGACTATTAACATCGTAGTATAATTGGACTCAGCTTAAAACAGAAGGAAACACACACTCACACATACACACGCACACAGGCTGGTCTCTACGGTCTTTAGACATTCATTTAATAATGCAAGTTAACTGCCTTTTTATTGTCTGTCTGGGTTAAAATGTTCTGCAGACGCTCTGTTTTAATAAAGCAAAGTGGGTTTTGACAGTTAAATTGCTCTGCTGCTGCATGTTATGATCTCAGCTGTAGTTTCTGAAGTGGTGTGGCTGAGTGCGTCTGAGAGGAAAAAAGCCCTCCTGTAACACAACTAAAATAAGAACAGTTCAATACTGCAGCGCCTTGGTAATTAACACTCCCTTTTACTCGTCCTGTCACCCTCTCTGTCTGCCTCCCACTCACAGAATGACACATGGGGCTTGCAGTACTCCTATGCTCTGTTCAAAGCCATGAGCCACATGTTGTGTATCGGGTACGGTGCTCAGGCTCCAGAAGGGATGACCGATGTGTGGCTCACCATGCTCAGTATGATCGTCGGTGCCACCTGCTACGCCATGTTCATCGGCCATGCCACCGCTCTCATCCAGTCGCTGGACTCCTCACGGCGACAATACCAGGAAAAGGTGAAGAATGACCCTCGTCCATGTGTCCTGCTATACTTTTTATAGTTTAGCCATCAAACCTGATTCAATCCATTTCCGTTGACGATAATATTTATTATCAATGAAGCTTTGGGGTTGTTTTTTTCCGACAATCTAAAACCTAAACAATAATAATTTACAATAATGTGAAACAGCGGATCTTTATATTTGTGAAGCTGGAACCAGTGGATTTTTGCATTTTTGCAGATGATTGAGCTATCAAAATTGTTATTGAATAGTTTTCAAAAGCCTCTAAAACATATTCTTATTAAACAATCTAAAAATCGCTTTCATCAAACTTCTCACAACTTTTAGACTGTGTCCAAAATCACTCCCTGTTTTCCATATAATGTGATCACTGTCTGCAATTTTATTTGAGTGTCCAAATCCTGAGTGTAAAATATATATGCAATATGGTCGTTTCCGAAACTTTACCGTAAAAGAACAAAAGAAAAGTGCAATTGAACTAATCATTGTTCTTCTGCTCTTTTCTTTTAAAGTGAATGTGTTTGTATGCATACCCCTGACCTGTGCATGTTTGTGTGTTATTGCAGTACAAGCAGGTGGAGCAGTACATGTCGTTCCATAAGCTTCCTGCAGACGTTCGGCAAAAGATCCACGAGTACTATGAGCACCGCTTCCAGGGGAAAATGTTTGATGAGGAGAACATCCTGGGAGAACTTAGCGAGCCGCTTAAAGAGGTAATGAATTCACAAACACCCACTCATCTACACGTAGAGACCACAAATGTTCTGGCCTTTGAGCAAATCTCTTCCTTCACGTCTCTGTTTATCTCTTCATCCTCTTCCTCTAGGAGATAGTCAGCTTTAACTGCCGCAGCCTTGTGGCTAACATGCCGCTGTTCGCCAACGCTGATCCCAACTTTGTGACTGCCGTTCTGATCAAGCTCCGATTTGAAGTGTTTCAGCCTTCAGACTTCATCATCCGCGAGGGCACGGTTGGACGGAAGATGTACTTCATCCAGCACGGGCGAGTCAGTGTGATGGCCCGTGGCAACAAGGAAACCAAGCTGAGCGATGGGTCATACTTTGGAGGTGATAATGTCAGAGTTGTCTAAATAGCTCAAGTTGTGTCGGAAGGTATAGATAGACATGGAGGTGATGAAAGTTTATACTGTAGGATTGATTTATCTCACAGCTTATTCCCTTTTTATTTCAGAGATTTGTTTGTTGACTCGTGGACGGAGGACAGCCAGCGTCCGTGCAGATACATACTGTCGCCTGTACTCTCTCAGTGTGGACAACTTTAACGAGGTGCTGGAGGAACATCCGATGATGAGGCGTGCCTTCGAAACTGTCGCTGTTGACCGATTGGACCGAATCGGTAAAGTGTGGATGTCTGAATAGCTCATAAATTTCTCTCACAATCCTATCTATACAGGGACTTGCGATTTTCCATTCAGCTCTATAATTCTGCAACGACCTTGCCCATTATTTGCAATTATCCATCCAGTACTGCTACATTTCTCAGGCGCCTTGTCCTCAGCTTAAAGGTCGGAACTCATCTTTGAAAAATAAAAAGCTGAAATACTAAAGGATGAGCAATGTTCTCTGTGAAGAAAAGATGTTTGCTTTGTGTTCAGTAAACAACTTTGCCTTCTAGAAATTTTAAAAAAATACTCTTTCCCATCTTTGTATTCTGGAACTGAATTCACACTTAACATCGCAGAAACTTTATAATGAATTTTCTCCTCTACAGGCAGGAAGAACTCCATGCTCCTGCGGAAGTCATCCCAGGGCGGTTCTCTGGGGGGCAGTATGGGTCGCGGTGGAGGCCGTGGTGCAGGGGGTCCAGGAGCCGGAGGAGGCCTGGCAGCCAGCACTCTGGGTTCCTGTGACAGCATGCTGGTGCAGCAGATTGTCAAACACGACAGCATGTCGGCCATGCAAGATGCCATTGCGGCTGCTGCTGCAGGAAGAGGTGGAGTCATCGGAGGAAGTGGCACGGTGTCTCCTCGGCCACGCCCGGTCATCTGGGCGCCGCTGGTCCACGCCCCTCTGCAGACTGCTGCTGCCGCCAGTAATGTAGCCATCGCCCTCATGCACCAGCAGCAGCAACAGCAGCAGCAGCTACAGCAGCTGCAGCAGCAGCATGCACTTGGAGGTGCTTTCTTCCTGCCCTCCCCTCTTGTCTCTCCCTCTCCTTCCTCCTCTTTCCCTCTGTCTCCCCCTCGACCTCCCGTGTTACAGCCCCTCCGCCCCTCTGTGAGCTCTCTCATCGGGATGATGACGATGGGAGGGATGGGAGGGATAGGAGGGATGGGAGGGATAGCAGGGATGGGTGGCTTGGGTGGCTTGTCCCCAAGAGGATTTCCTGTCTCTCCCTCATCCATGGGCCCTCCTGGTGGGTTGACATCGCCCACTATTGTTAAAACGCCATCCACACCCGCCTCCTCTGTCCCGATGTCTGTCCAACAAGAAAGGAATCTTCATTACAGCCTCCGCCTCCAGGCTGATCATCCCTCAATGTTTGCTGGATCACCAGGTGGAGGTCCACAAACTCCACCCCTCCACAAGGTACCTGCCGCCAACCCCCCTGCTGCTTGTGGTGCCCCGTCAGATTGCAACACTTTTGTGATGGGCCAGCAGGGAGCAAAAGAAGCTCTGTTACGTCATGGAGGAAACAGCTCTCAGTGTCTGCCTGCACTTGGCAGACTCACCCAGGAGGCCAGGCTGCTGTCGGCCTCGCAGCCCACTCTGCCTCACCGCTCCTGGGCTGGAGTGCAGCCTCACCCGCCTCTCCACAGGAAGGCTTCTGGTGGTAATTTGCTGCCGGCTCCTTTCCTGGCAGGCCAGTTGGCCAGGGGAAGCAGTGCAGGTATGCTGACCTGTAACGCTCCAGTACAGCTGTTGACAAATATACCGTTTAATGCACAAGCACAGGCCGCAGTTACTATTCAGGCTGCACTGGCACACAATCTGCCCACACAATCTGCTCCTTACACTGCCACTGTGCCCATACCTATAGCTGTATACATGCCTTCTGCAGCTTCTTTGCCATCTTCCTCCCCTCCAAAGCAGACCCCGCTCTCCTCTTCCACCCCTTCACCTGCACCCACTCACTCGTCTCCTTCACCTATACTCCCACAGATACCTCGTCCTAAACCATTCCCAATGACCCCCTCTCGCTCTTCCTCTCCTCCTCCCTGCTCCACCCCACCTTTAGCAGGAACAAACCCGCTGTCGCTCTCATCAACTCCTCGTCCCAAACCAATCTCTACAACCTCTCCCCGCTCCTCCTCTCCCTCTCCCTCCTCCACACCGCCTCCATCTTCTGTTTCTACCCCTGTTTTAATACTTCAAACTTATGGGCCCAAGACATCTTTTACCTCCTCTTCGCCCCCTTCCTCCTCGATTACCTCTATCCCACCACGACCCCAGAGCCCCCGTGCCAAGGCATCCAACACACCTCCTTCTGCTTCTCCGTTGTCTGGCCCCAGTCCCGCCCCAACCCCAATCCCTTCTCCGATACAGACTCCCACTCAGACAACCCGCTCTCGCACATCTACCCCAGCCCAAACTCCTACACAAACCTTGACACCTGTTACTCCTACCCAGACCCTAATCCGTACACCTTCTCCCTCTCCCATCCCTGTTAAACCTGTTCCCTCCCTAAGTAAATCCCAGAGTCCAACCCCTTGTCTCCAGCCCTCTGTCCCTAGTTCAACCAGAGGCCCCACATTGGGCCAAATCCCAAAACAGACCCCAACCCAAACCGCATCTCCTTCCCCTACACCAGCTATCACTAGCTCTCCTCATAAAATGACTTTCACAGTTCATCCTGTAAAGCAAACCCCTCCTGTCCTTACTCCAACCCCCACTGCAGGCTTCGTTTTCTCCACCAAACCAACCCCAGCTACAAGCTCTACAACATCATGCCCAAACACAAGCTCCACTAGCCCCTCATCTCTTGCTACCACCTCCTCCTCCTCCTCCACCATCTCCTCTAGTTTACAATCTGCTTCTGCTCACCCCCAGAAACAAACGCCAACTACCTTCTCCTCAAAACTCAATACACCCTCTACCCCTGCCCAGACCTCTCAGGCATCCACCACTTCATCCACCCAGTCAGCACATGCAGCCACCCCTGCCAACACCACCTCCCCTAAAGGTGGGAAAAAAGACCCTCAGCAATCACTTGCCAGAAAAGACTCAGAGGGACTAAGACACAAACTGCCCTCCTCCAGCATGTAAGACATTCTCATAGGATGTTGTGGCCACTGCTGATTAGCAGAGCCCTGGATATACAGAGTTGTGACAGAGTCGGCGTCAGATATCCAATGATGTCGTGTCGACAGGTACATCTTGTTTGCATTCACTCTAGGATGTGATTGTCTTAGAACATCAGGTGTTCGTGTGACTCTTAACCAAGCTGTCGCTCGAGGAGACTTTCTTGGTGTGTTGAGTGGTTGGTGCAGGCAATGGTAGAGTCTGAAAAACCATCCAAATGTATACATACATATCTTTGTTTGTGATTGTTGGAGCAAGCAGGGGAGCTGAAGTGGAAACAGTATGCACAGTAAAATGGGGTGGAAGCAATAGATGAAAAAAAAAAAGTCTCCATTTTCTATACATGTGAAACATTTGAGACTCTCATAATGTGACAGGAAATGACATTGACAAAAAATGATAAATGTGAGAAAATAATAACCTTTCTGTTGCAGACACTTCCTGTTTTCCAGCTCCCTCTTGCCTCCCATTTTACACCAAAGTGTAATATTTTCTCATCAGAATATTAATAATGATAAGAATATAAAATCACTGTAAAGTCGATGCTCATATGAATTTGAATAATTAGGAGTAGTTCACTGGTAGTTTTGTTGTCTGACGTGTGTGGTGTTTAGTTTTTTGAAAAAGACAAAACTTTTAAACCTACATGTTTTTTTGTGTGAAAGACAATACTGCTCTGCTGTGCACCGTGGCTCACCCGGCTCCCTGAACTGTAAATACGTGCCTCTATGTGGGTCTGTTGTAAGCTTCCTCACTCCTCAGCTTCGCTGTCTTTCATCTCTTCTCTGTCTCGCCGCCTTTCATCTGATTTCACAGCCCCCGTCACTAACTGCTTCTTTGGCGCTCACAGACTCACTCCCTTTCTCTCGGTTTGCCCGACACTTTGCTCTGTGCGGCCATCAGCCTCATGTTCAAATGGCTCTTCCTTCTGTCGGCCTACAACACTGTTTCAGCACCATTTCCTGTGATGTTTGATGTTTTGTGTGGGTAGCAACAACACATTTTTGTCTTAACCCCTGATACCATGTTGCCTAGACTATCAATTAAAAGACCAAATGTTTTATTTTTTATTTATCACAGCTTTAGCTTTTGAACAGAAAAGAATAGCCAATAATGCTGTCACAATGATGATCTTGAGCGTGGTGTTTAAGGTGATGATTATGATTATGATGATGATGATGATGATGATAACATTGATAACATTCTTGACAACCACGATGGTAATGATGAAGGTGTATATCTGGATGTAACAATAAAGCGGATTTAGATATCATCTTGTTGAGTATGTTCAGGCCTGAGCTCCCATGTGTGCTTGCGTGTCTGTCATGTGTACATGTATATAACATATATTTACACACAGTATATAAAGCCTATATATAAATGCTGCTACATCAACCACAGGTAGGATGTTTGTAAGTATTGACAAAATAGCAAATATTGATTTTTAATTCAACTCAAACTTTAATGTTGATGATTTGGAACTTTTCAATTTTGAGATTTAAAACTGCCATCGACAAC